GAGTGAGAGTAATAAGTATCAAAGAATTCTAGTCTTTGAGTAAGAGTAAAAATCCTCAGAATCTGTACTTAAGTACAGTACTCAAGTTAATTTACCCCGTTACTGTCCACCACTGGTTATCAATAACTCAAAATCCACAGTGTGGTAAATGACCAGTCTTTGGCTTAAGTCCTGTATCATTTCAAATGAATTTACTGTTTGTTTTGTCCTACCACGATCCCAGTTTAAAATCAGTATCTCTGTCGACGGTGTGCAGGTGAGGTTTGCAGACTACAGATGATCCGCCTCTCGGATTCTTTCTCCTACTGGTTGCTCACCATCTTGTTTCCACAGCTCCACTGTGTAGTCACACACCAACGGTCCGACTAAAAAACCTGGCCTGCCGTACAACAAGATGACGCACATGCAGGCCGTTAAGCTTCACATAAATCAGGAAATTAAATGAAATAAATTACTAGTACTGAAATACATTTTAATTACCAACTGAAGGGTGGAAACCCTACTATTAGTAGTCATCTATGATTATTGGTATGACAAGATGCAGCATGGAGCAGTGCTTATAATGCATGTAATATATCCTTTATATTCAGTGGGCCTACAGCGCATTTCTTTTCATGACGGAACAGCTGTATGCACGTCTGAGGCACAGACCTCCTATAATGCAGACTATGAATTCACACAAATATTTATTTAAATCATGCAATCAATGTTACCATATCACATAGCATGTATAAGGTAAGTAACTATGTTCTGCTTTGCAATAACAAAAATATTTATCTGAAAATCAGTTTTCTTTGTTTTTTGCCTGAAATGTTATTACTTGTAGGGAAACAAGACATTTTTAACTGCTGATAAAAAATGAAATGATTAATAGCATATACATTGGACAAAAAACATTTTGAGAGCTTGAAAGTTCACAAGATTTGGTCAATAAGACTGATGGTGGTTGGCAACTTTTTCATCGAATGCTGGCAGGCAAAGAGTAAATAAATTCAGTCAATTAAAGTTGATGACAATTTGTAACAAACTAGTTGGTGTATTAACAAGCGTGATGTATACACTTTTTAATAACAAGCTTGAGATTTTGACAGCTGCCATTTCTTTTCTAGTCTCTCTCCTCATACAGGACTATTAAAGCAGACCACCAACTTAAGAAGCAATCTGAGGCTGTCACTGAGAGAGTGACCTGCAAACCTTTTGGTAAAAAATCCATGAAAACCCATGAATGGAGAGCTGTAATGGAGGTTTTTTTCTTCAAACATGTTCAATTATTAAACACAATTTACCCGCACCTGCTTGATTTTACTAACATGAATGAATTAGACGTGAGGCAGCATACCTCACCTAGTGAGTGTGTGGCCCCCAAGAAAAAAGTTTGGACACCCCTGAACTAATATGACGACAACCTAATGTAAGGTTCAAGCCAGATCTTGACATAAACAGTCCAGAGACACTGTAATACACATTAGGGAATTATGGTTAGGAAAGGTTGGGTATGGAAATAAGGTTTAGTACGGACAGCAAATAGTCTAACAATATAAGCATGTAAATTTGAATCCCCATCCCCTACAAATTACTTGGATCCATCCCTGACTTTTCTCTGCTCTGTGTAGTGCATTCAATTGTTTTTTAGAGTAATCACAGGATCACTCAGGTAGGACTGACAGAGTGGATCAAACTGTTGCCACCTTAATACCTCCTTTTACTCCATCACACCTAGCTTTAAGGGGCCGAGTGTTACGCCAAACAATGCTGGAAACACTGACTGCAAACAGCCTTCAGTGTCGGTGTCCTGCATGCTGACACAGCCCAACTTGATGAAGATTGCCAGCAGTTTGTTGACTCCAAAAGGCAACGCTCCAATCACAGCAGCAGGCGCAGTCTGCTTACACTTCTAACTCTGAGAAACTGGCTGCTGCACAGACACATTTACAGACTCTGGCAGAGGAGTCTAGACCTGCTGAACGACTGATAAGGCTGGTTTACATGAAACCACATCCTTTTTGTTTGATTACAGGAATTATGAATTTGAGCAGTGACCCCTCTTTTGATGCAGCTTTATATTAATGTAGTCCAGCCATGAAGCAATCTGGACAGTGTCATTTGAGCATGACTCAATGATGCCCTCAAGTGGCCTGAGTGAGCCATCTGCAGACCTCTCTCAACAAACCATCATATGTTTGGACACACACACACACACACACACACACACACACACACACACACACACACACACACACACACACACACAGATCTATATATATATATATATATATATATATATATATATGTGTGTGTGTGTGTGTGTGTGTGTGTGTGTGTATTTATAGTACAGACCAAAAGTTTGGACACACCTCATTCAATGAGTTTCCTTTCTTTTCATGACTATTGATGTAGATTCACACTGAAGGCATCAAAAGTATGAATTAACACATGTGGAAATATGTACTTAACAAAAAAGTGTAAAACAACTGAAAATACGCCTTATATTCTAGTTTCTTTAAAGTAGCCACCTTTTTCTCTGATTACTGCTTTGCACACACTCTGCATTCTCTTGATGAGCTTCAAGAGGTAGTCTCCTGAAATGGTTTGCACTTCACAGGTGTGCCCTATCAGGTTTAATAAGTGGGATTTCTTGCCTTATAAATGGGGTTGGGACCATCAGTTGTGTTGTGCAGAAGTCAGGTGGATACACAGCTGATAGTCCTACTGAATAGACTGTTAGAATTTGTATTATGGCAAGAAAAAAGCAGCTAAGTAAAGAAAAACGAGTGGCCATCATTACTTTAAGAAATGAAGGTCAGTCAGTCCAAAAAATTGAGAAAGCTTTGAAAGTGTCAAGTGCAGTCGCAAAAAACATCAAGCGCTACAAAGAAACTGGCTCACATGAGGACCGCCCCAGGAAAGGAAGACCAAGAGTCACCTCTGCTGCGGAGGATAAGTTCATCCGAGTCACCGGCCTCAGAAATCGCAGGTTAACAGCAGCTCAGATTAGAGACCAGGTCAATGCCACACAGAGCTCTAGCAGCAGACACATCTCTAGAACAACTGTTAAGAGGAGGCTGTGTGAATCAGGCCTTCGTGGTAGAATAGCTGCTAGGAAACCACTGCTAAGGACAGGCAACAAGCAGAAGAGACTTGTTTGGGCTAAAGAACACAAGGAATGGACATTAGACCAGTGGAAATCTGTGCTTTGGTCTGATGAGTCCAAATTTGAGATCTTTGGTTCCAACTACCGTGTCTTTATGCGACGCAGAAAAGGTGAACGGATGGACTCTACATGCCTGGTTCCCACCGTGAAGCATGGAGGAGGTGTGATGGTGTGGGGGTGCTTTGCTGGTGACACTGTTGGGGATTTATTCAAAATTGAAGGCATACTGAACCAGCATGGCTACCACAGCATCTTACAGCCGCATGCTATTCCATCCGGTTTGTGTTTAGTTGGACCATCATTTATTTTTCAACAGGACAATGACCCCAAACACACCTCCAGGCTGTGTAAGGGCTATTTGACCAAGAAGGAGAGTGATGGGGTGCTGCGCCAGATGACCTGGCCTCCACAGTCACTGGACCTGAACCCAATCAAGATGGTTTGGGGTGAGCTGGACCGCAGAGTGAAGGCAAAAGGGCCAGCAAGTGCTAAGCATCTATGGGAACTCCTTCAAGACTGTTGGAAGACCATTTCAGGTGACTACCTATTGAAGCTCATCAAGAGAATGCCAAGAGTGTGCGAAGCAGTAATCAAAGCAAAAGGTGGCTACTTTGAAGAACCTAGAATCTAAGACATATTTTCAGTTGTTTGACACTTTTTTGTTAAGTATATAATTCCACGTGTTAATTCATAGTTTTGATGCCTTCAGTGTGAATCTACAATTTTCATATTCATGAAAATAAAGAAAACTCTTTGAATGAGAAGGTGTGTCCAAACTTTTGGTCTGTACTGTATATATATATATATATATATATATATATATATATATATACGTATATATATATGTACGTGCATATGTATAAATCATCAACTAGATTGAAGCCTATTTAAGAATATGGCCTAACAGAAGTTCTTGTTCTTTCTTCTTCATCTTCTTCTTTTAACTCTGACAAAAGAATAATTCCTGATTTCTAGGTTGAATAATAAAAAAAAGACATTATGTAATGCACCTTTTCAAATTGTTCTGAAAAAATACAGCACAAAACAGTATATAATTCTTTTTTCTGATTGGACCTGGTGCAAAATGAAACACCCACACGTTTTATAATTGGACTGACCTAGCACCCCTCCAGTGGAGGCATTTGTGCGTTTTAAACCAACATCTACACTAAAATCCTGCTGTACACAAATTGCTGCTATTACCCACCAGGAAGGACTCCTGTCTTTGTGTCTCTGCCTGGATCAAACTGATTGCTTGCTTTTTCCTGAGAATAACTCACTGTTTCTGCTCAGCAGGTGATTGGACACACATGGTGACACACAGTGGAACAGTTTGCTTCCAATACTGCATATAAATCTTTCCAAGTCTTGATTGTGTAATGCAAGGACTGTGTCTTTAGTCTGCGTCTAAGCCTTTATCTGACAGAAATTCAGGCCTGTGTATACATGGGATAATGCATGGTGAAGCGGTGGGGGTGGGGTTACTTTTGTTAAAAAGTAACAAGGTATAAACAAATCTTAATAAACCAGTCAGCTGTTGAGTGGCACCTGCAACATTAAAGAGATCTTGGATTAAATGCACATTTTCCCCTCTCAGACAACATTAAAGCAGCCAATCAGCACACACCTCTATATCATAGCAGCCCTGCCTACTAAGCTAAACAGAGGCTACATTTTTGGCGGTTTTTGTTTTGTTTTTTGTTTTGCAACCTTGCTTAAAGGGCAACTTGGACCTGTTCTGAACAGATTTTCAAATCATCACTGTAATTGATCTTTAAGTAAAAATGGACATTCAGGGGTATTATTGAGAGAAACCATTGTAGTTTTATAAATTTAATTTATTTAGTACCCACATTAAACACACTTAAATCACATGATGATTGATTATTTTTGCACATAAAGATAAGAATTGAAAGATGCAAAAAGAAGCGGGTAAAACTAATACTGTAACACATACAAAGTTTATGTACAAGAAATAGTGACTCACAGATCTATAGCTGTGGTTGTGAATGTTCTTGTCTCTTCACTGACATTACTGTGTACATTTAAAAAACAAACTTTGCACAAACCATGGCACCATACATGTTCTTTTCCTCAATGATGCAGGTACAATAGTGACTCTTACTGATGTGCTCTCCTTACGAGACTGTAAAAAGAAAAAGAAAAAAGAAGAAGAAAGCATGCTGCATGTACAGACATAAAAATGCGGCAAATCAAAAAGCATTGACATTTCCAGTCAGGACAAATTTGCCCTATTGTTATAAAAGAGGTCATTTTATGCTCAGTCTCCAATAATAAGATTTTAAAAAAGCCCTGATTGCTGTCCTGTCCACAGTCTTTGTGGGTGAAGTACTCTTACATTTACAGCAGACCCACCCACCCTCCAACTGTTATCACATTGATTCAGTCGGTAGGAGGCCTAGTAATGACTAAATGGTGCGGTCTCCTTCAACTCATGGTACCCCTGGTGGTTTGGCTCTGTGAAGAGACAGAGAGGGCAGTTAGGGCTGAGAAGTACCACAAATCTATCTCTCCTACATTAGCCTGTGCTTTTAAAAGATTATTTAAGACTGGTAATTCACTTTGCTTTGAAAGGGAGGAACAAAAGCAAAACAGCTGCAGGCAACTGGAATCAATACTGAAGGGGAAAGTTATGTTTAACAGTCCCTACATTGTGAGACATATTGAATAGGTTGTTGTGTCGAATTTTGAGTGGGCATCTGCTTCAGGCAGAGATTTTAACACTCCTATGGAAAATAAAAAATAACTCAGCTGAAAGAATTTAGATACTCCAAAGGTTTTGGTGGATCTTTTGATCTGATAAGTCATGCCATTACAAGAAATGTGCTCCAGTAATGACAAGCTGTGACAGTCTATTTTGACCTTTTTTTTAACATTTAATAACTCATCCAGGTGTTTTACAAACCCAGTTCCTAAAAAAGTTATCTAAACCCTTGTGTTAAAACTGAAAAGTATTTTTTTTTTTTTATATTTAAAGAACAAATGCTCATTACAAATAAATGCCAACAAGTTGTTTCAAAAAGGGTGATACAAGACCAACACCACATAAAAAAAGGCATCGCCTAACTAATGTCCAACAGGTTAGCAACATGACTGGTATAAAGAGGACATTCAGAGAGTCTCTCAGATGGGGAAGGCGGGAAGAGGTTTGACCACTCTGTGAGAAACTGCGTGAATAGTTCAACATATTGCTAATAGTTCAACACTTTCATTTCAGAGAGTCAGAGAAATCTCTGTACAAAAGGGACAAGAACCAAAACCAAGACTGGATAGTCTGATCCTCTGGCCCTAAGGCAGCATGCATTAAAAACAGACAGGACTCTAGAGTGGGAATCACTGCATAAGCTCAAATCATTACTAAAACCCACTTTCTGTGAACACAGTTCAAGGTGTCAACCACAAACACAGGCCAGAACAGTACCATGCAAAGAAGAAGCCATGTGTGAACATGATTCAGAAATTCCAGTGACTCCTCCGGGCCAAGGCCCATCCAAGATGGGCTTATGTGAAGCCAAGAACTATCTTGTGATCTAATGGATCAAAATCTCGCTTTCTTTTTTAAAATCATAGCTGTTATTAGTGCAAATTTCAAATCCAGCATCCCTGATGGGATGGGGATCATGAGGGTCCATGTCATGGGTATCTTTCACATCTGTGAAGGCTCCATTAATGCTGAACAATATCTACAGGTTTAGGAGCAACATGTGCTACCATCCAGACAAAGACGTTTCCAGGGAAGACCTTCATATTTCAGCAAGACAATGACAAACCACATTCTGACAACAGGGATTACAACAGCATGGCTCTGAAGTAGAAGAGTCCTGCTGATAAACTGGTCTGCCTGCAGTCCTGACTTGACCCACTGAAAACATTTGGAGAATCATGACTCTAAAAATTACAACAAAGGGGACCCTGAACTGTTGAGCAGCTGAAATCTTGAATCAGGAAACAATGTGGCAATATTCCACTTTCCAATACTCCCTTGTTTCAAAATGTGTGGTAAAAAGAAGGGCTGATGCACCACAGAAGTAAACATGATCCTGTCCCAGCTATCTTTTTACCTGCTGCTGGCATCAAATTTATAATGAGCAAACATCATAATAAAAAAATGAAATTCTTCCATTTAAACATTTGATATGTTGTCTTTGTATTTTATTACATTCGAAAGAGTTTTAACAATCCATAAACCAACAAAATCAGTTTTACTTTTTGCTCTGCACCCCCAAATTTTTTTGAATTGTGATTGCATGTAATCTAAAACTACAGAGTATGGTCTAGACCTGCTCTGTTTATATGGTAAACTTAATTCAATAGATTGATGTACATTCAGACTGTCTCTGAGTTTTAAAGTGTGAAGAAAACACAGCTGTTTGACACGTTTACAAGTAGCATTTAAAGAGTAATGACTTATCTGAACAAACCAAAAAAGATTAGGACCTATTTTTGCAATTTTTCTTTGCAACAAGGCAGTAAAGATAAATTGCATTAGTATTGCTCCTTATTGAATAGTAATTCAGTGAAATCTCATCATTCAACCCAGTTTTTGAATCACTTCATATTCATTTATGAGTTTGTATCATTATTTAAGAGATCACTTAATGATTTTCTGTACATCCCAAATGATGTACACAAAGACAGCCACAAACAGAATGCGTTTAAGTGTGTAGATAAGTGTTACGGTACCCAGACTCATATTCTCCTCAATGAGAGGCCTCTTCTCGCTGCAGTTCACCACTCTCCCCTGAGCTGCTCCCAGGATGGTCATGATTTCCACCAGACTGAGCTTTCCTTCTTCTTTGGCCTCCTCTACCTCCTCCGTCAGCTCCTTTACTGCCTCCTCACGTTCCTCAATTTCTTCTTGGGTTAGCATTGCATCCAACCCTTGCCCTGCAGTAGTGTTGCCGACCTGTGGCGGCGCCAATGAGCACAATGCCCTGACCTTCCCGTAGGACTTCAGGTGTGCTACATTGGCACGCAGAAAGAGCAGGAGGACATTAAGGTCATTGAGCGGGCAGCCAAGCCGTTGTTGGTTGATCAGGTCCAGGGCAGGGAGGACCTCGTAGACTGAGATGAAAGTGGTGTCCCAAACAAAGAGGCGGAGTAGGCTGAAGAGGACGATGGGAGCCAAAAGCACATAGATGGCACCATTAGCTACACTGATTACCTGAAACACCAACTGGCCAATCATCTTACACTGAACCAGCTCAGGAACCCAGTTCTGATCCCGCAGCATGCCTGTGCGGACAAAGCAGCTGAACTCATCCTGCAGAAAGGCGGAGAGGTGGAAGTAGGCCAGGTAGAGACAGGCAGCCGTCATGAAGGTCAGGAGGAGGAAACCCCGTAAGAAAAGCATGCTTACAAGGAAGTAGGACTTTTGTTTGCACTGCATGTATCTCTCCAGTAGAGGGTACTCAAAATACCGCTTCTTCTTGGCCCTAAAAAAAAAAAAAAAACAAGAGGAAGAAACTTAGAGCCATGTTTTTCCTTATTCTTCTACAGCTAAACATTCCCAGCTGGGAGACGCCCAACCCAACCTAACCCAACCCAACCCAACCACTGAGCAAATTGCTGCCAACCACCCACACAGCCCTCCATTAAATTCAGTGTGTTAGAGGGTAGAGCCATGGGCAAGTGTTCATTTAGAGTGCAGCTCCAAGGTTTCCCAGACCATGTTTTCCATATTTATTAATAGATAAACTCTTAATGGGAAGTTTATCTTAAAGCTACTTCAAGGAGTTTATGGCTGGTAATGTGACAGGCTGAAACTAATGTCAAAGCCTCTATTATATTGAATATATCACCGATTGAGGTCATTAGAAATGACACTAATCATCCTGTAAAGATCTTGATCAGGCCTGTCATCCCTTCTGTGGGGCAGGAGGAAATTAATGGCAAGTTTTCCACTTTTACGATTCATCATGAATCATGAACCGTACAGTACAAAGGATGAGAAGAAGCAAGAAAATTTGAAGCAAGGGAAATGAGGATAAAAACTGTATGGTATGCTAACAAAACTTTGCATTCTTGTCAGTGGTTTGCACAAATAACGCTGAAGAAGGAGGGAAAGACAGGCTGTCAGAAGGAGAAATCAGCATGGTTGTCCTCTTCGAAAATGAATGCTCGGGTGAAAGGTTTCGCTTCTCTCCACTATTCCATCATTTGCCCAGGCACTTTGAATTGTGGGTAACAATAAGCGAAGCAGACTGATCTGATGCATAATGTGAAATTTTCTCGAATCAGTGCATCATTTTGGCATTTTTGGCATACTGCAAATTTCGCATTTGTCGCATGCCATACTGCATATTAAATTTTGGGCAAATCAGTACATACTGCTAGTACAGAACGCACATGTTCTGTAAGATATATATATATATATATATATATATATATATATATATATATATATACATATATATATTGTGTATTACCTTTGGAGTGCTGTGGTGTCGCATTGAAGTGGTGGGTTTCCTCTCCATATTGGTGGTGGGGAAAACACAGCTCAAATACTTATTCAAGCTTTTGAATCATAGTGATTGTTTACTGTTTGAATTACATTAGAACATAAGAATAAAGCTAACAGAATGTTGGTACTTCATTATGAAACTTTAATTTTATTTTAAGATTTTCATAGAATGCATCTGGATACACTCCATTCCCTGATATCCTCCAGGCTCGACTACTGTAATTCCCTGTACTTTGGTATCAACCAGTCATTGATACAATGACTACAAATGGTTTTAGTGCAGCAGCCAAGTACAAATTTTAGCCAGAATCCTTCAGTTGGTGATACAAGCATGAACATTGGCATGACTATTCTCCATGGGTCACTTGACTAGAAAAGTGCCTCAGCCATTTGAAATTTCAAGATGGCTGCCATTTTTCAAGATGGCTGCCACCTAAGTAGAACAATTAGGTGATACTTGTTAAATTGGTGATATAGCCATGAAAATTGGTATGAACAGTCTTCATGACTCACTTAAGAAAATGCCCCAAGCTGCTTGAAATTTCTGGATGGCGGCCATCTCATTAGAGCAGTCAAATAATGTAAAGTTGGTGTTATAAACATGAAAAACAGTAAGACCATTCTCCATGAGTAACTTAACAAGAAAATGCTCCAAACTGCTTGAAATTATAATGTGGCGACCGTTTAAAAGATGGCTGCCATCTTATTACAGCAGTAATGTCATGTAAAGTTGGTGATATGAACATGCAAACATTCTCCATAACTTCACTTCACAAGAAAATGCTTGACTGTGTTTTGTCTAACTCCTCGCCTTCGACCTGTCAAATTTGGTGAAACCTGCCAGGAGTTGTCTCCCAATGGCATAGCTTTCAGGGTTCGCAGAAGTATGCAAGCTCCCTTACCACAACCAGGTCACAGTCACGAGGGAGGTTTTATATTTTTGCTTTAAATTTAAAAAAATTTTAAAAAGTTTTTTTTTTTTGTTCCTTTTTTGTAACTTTTTTTTGTTTTGTTTTCTGAGAGGGGGGAGGTAAACAAGGGGAAGTAGTCCTGGCAAAAAGAATACACATAGCTTCTAACAGGGGCAACTACATAAACATGTGCAAGTGAGACCATATTTGAAGCACTCGCAATGTCCAGTACATTCCTTGGTGCACCAACATTTGGTTTAATGTTAACTTTTTACTCTATAATTATGTTTTTTGTTTTCAATCACATTTTTCTTTTATACCGTCAGGATTCCACTTTAAGTTCTTTGTTCACTGTACAAAGTCAATAAACATATTCTATCCAATGTCTATTCTATTCGAGAAATAATAATCATGGATTTCATTTGTGTAGCACTTTACATGAAGTCAGTGGTCTCAAAGTGCTTAGCAGTAAAAAATACAAAACATTAAATATAGAAAGAATATAATCCACAGAGTCCTTAAAGGGACATAGAGAAAAAGACATGAAAAAAAAAAAAAAACTCGCATGCACACTCGAAACATTCACGTGCACACGCTCAAGAGGTGCGTTGTTCTCCAGTTGGAGCGGGGATACCACAGGATGTATTCTCGCTCCAAGAGGAGGGCAACGCTCCTCTTTCGCATGAGCATGCAAAACATTTGTGGGGTTTTTTTGTGTGTGTGAAACTCACACATTCTTTGCAGGAAAGGTCCCTCATCTGATCCCAGGACACAGGATAATATAAATCTTTCCAGACTTGTTTGCATCTTCAGGTTGCCTAACTAACCCGACCGGAGGTTGACCAAAACCTCTGGCTCTTCACAATTGGTCAATGCGGAGAACAGAGACAGAGTTTTTATTACCTTTCAAACTGACTCTATCACTGACCATCTAAATATAAACATTAACGCCTCAACTCAGGTCTCCCATTTGAGATTTACCATGTTAAAGTGTGTGAACACACAGACCCCAAGGAACGGTTTGAGGAGCAGGACACTGACCTCCAGACCTCTGTCATTAAACTCTGCTTGACCATGCACTGATAAAAACTGCATTCCTTTGGAGAAAGAATACAAATAATTGATCATGACACCTTATGCATTCAGCAATGTACTAATAAGTCTAATCATGAAATTTGTGTTAAAATAAGATATATCCCATTTTTCTATGTGCTCCAAAAGCCAAGTTATCACTCTGACAGAATAAATCCTTTATTCTTTAGTTTCTTTAGACCAACAGCTTTTCAGACTGTTTCATGAACTTTTAAGGGTTACATTTATCGACTATGAATCATAATTTTACTCTCAGTAACAGAAATAGTTTAGAAATATTTGGTTTATATTTTTATTATTTAGTATTTTTACCCATTAGGTGGTTATAATGTCATTGAATAATTCAATTGTGAGTATAACGAATCCATCATTAATCAAGATGAAGTTTATCTGAAAAACCAATTCCATTGAAGTTGGGAAATTGTGATAAACGTTATAAAAACAGAATACAATGATTTGCAAATCCTTTTCAACCTCTATTCAATTGAATACGCTACAAAGTCAAGATATTTAATGTTCAAACTCATAAACATTATTTTTTTTGCAAATAATAATTAACTCAGAATTTCATGGCTGCAACACGTGCCAAAGTAGTTGGGACAGGGACATGTTTACCACTGTGTTACATCACCTTTCCATTTGACAACACTCAATAAACATTTGGGAACTGAGGAGACTAATTGTAGGCTTTGAAGGTGGAATTCTTTCCCTCTCTTGCTTAATGTACAGCTTCAGATGTTAAACAGTCTGGGGTCTCCGTTGTCATATTTTATGCTTCATAATGCACCACCCATTTTCCAAGAGAGACAGGTCTGGCCTGCAGGCAGGCCAGTCGAGTACCCACACTCATTTATTACAAAGCCATGCTGTTGTAACACATGCAGAATGTGGCTTGGCATTGTCTTGCTGAAATAAGCAGGGCGTCCATGAAAAAGACGTTGCTTGGATGGCAGCATATGTTGCTCCAAAACCTGTATGTACCTTTCAGCATTAATGTTGCCTTCACAGATGTGTAAGTTACCCATGCCTTGGGCACTAATGCACCCCCATACCATCACAGATGCTGGCTTTTGAACTTTGCGTCAATAACAGTCCGGATGGTTCTTTTCCTCTTTGGCGCGGAGGACACAACGTCCACTATTTCCAAAAACAATTTGAAATGTGGACTCGTCAGACCACAGAACACTTTTCCACTTTGCATCAGTCCATCTTAGATGAGCTCAGGTCCAAAGAAGCCGGCAGCGTCTCCGGATGTTGTTGATAAATGGCTTTCGCTTTGCATAGTAGAGTTTTCACTTGCACTTACAGATGTAGCAACAAACTGTATTTACTGACAGTGGTTTTCAAAAGTGTTCCTGAGCCCATGTGGTGATATCCTTTACACATTGACGTCAGTTTTTGATACAGTGACGCCTGAGGGATCAAAGATCACAGGCATTCAGTGTTAGTTTCCGGCCGTGCCGCTTATGTGCAGTGATTTCTCCAGATTCTCTAAACCTTTTGATGATATTATGGACCGTAGATGTTATAATCCCTCAATTCCTTGCAATTTTACTTGAAACGTAAACTGTTCAACTATTTCTCACACAGTTGTTCACAAAGAGGTGTACCTCGCCCCATCCTTGCTTGTGAATGACTGAGAATTGAAAGCATTTCTCAAATTTCTCAGTATTTTTTGCCACCTTTCCCAACTTCTTTGTCACGTGTTGCTGCCATCAAATTCTAAAGTTAATGATTACTTGCAAAAAAATATAAAGTTTATCAGTTTGAACATTAAAAATGTTTTCTTTGTAGTATATTCAATTGAATATGGGTTGAAAAGGATATTCTGTTTTTATTTACGATTTACATGTCTTCCCAATCCCATTGGAATTTGGTTTTGTACATGTGTTTACCCTTTTGTTGTTCACAGTTTCTATGTGTTACTATCTGTTCTATTTCAGAGTAATTTAGCATGATCAATGTGATACTTTAAACATAATGAGAATGTTTGATGTGATTCTACATTTCTTCATATGTGTTTAGTATCAAATCATTCATCATGAAACCAAGCATTCAATGATATTAATCATAGTGAGTTAGTATCAGATCTGACTCTTTTACTAGCCAAAAGTATAAGTTAGATCATATAATCAGAGTCCTCTGCAGTTACGCACCAACTACCCCTCCTCTTTCTCCTCACACACACACCCCAGAGACACTTCCAGTGTGAAGGAGATAAAAAACAGCAAATTTGGGGGTGCCCACTCTCTTCTGCTCGGACTTCTCTCTTTAACTCTTCTGCTCTTGTTTCCCGGTCTTCTCTTAGTCCCCTTCTTTGTTTTCTCTAAGACCTTACTACTTACTCTTACCTTTTTTTAGTCTAATAAGTTTTACGCCACGTGTTCATTCATGTTGATTTTTCTGTAACATCTTCTTAGTTCAAGTTTTGAAACTTCAGCTTTTTGTGCGCATAGCACTTCAAGATAAAGCCTTTAACTGATTTTACTTCGATTTCGCAAAGCCATATTTGAAATAGTTTTGATTGGCCATCAAGCCTCTTTTTCTGAGTTATCTGCGTGATTTCAAAGTCACCTCTGAACACCACACAGCAGGCCCAAAGTCATCCTCTGTGCCAGAGTTTGTGGTGAGACCAAAGGAGCATCCAAAGGATTCATAAGGTGCTGGTTTTTGCTTCGGGCCTGAGTGCTGCAACTCCTGGCCAATCTTTTGGCTGACTTTGGTTGTCTTCTGAGCTGAACCTCTCGAACTGCCAGTAGCCCCGGACCTTTGAAACCTGCTCCATCTTCTCCAAGGACCAGGCTCACTTAAGTATGCAAACCTCCAGAGCTCCAAATAGGGCTGATGCTGTCTCATGTGGTCATGACTCAGATATTCACTTATTCGAGTAATCCTAGATTCATCCAAATCCACAAGTTAGTGTAGGTTAACATGTTAGAGCATATTCACTCACTATTATTAACTTAAGTGCTTTTAGCCTGACTCAGAATCTTTTATATTCACCTATAATTATTTATCCTCATTATCTTATCATTTATTGCATGTATGTTGTACCATCATTTATCCTGCAATAAACAGATCCTTTATTTTCTAAGTTCTTGTCTGTTAGTGTTCTTCCAGAAGTGGAGTCCCTGAAATGAGAAGTTCAGCTTGAGATAAGAGATTGATTAATTTAAGATTTAATGTTTGATTTCTGAATTAAACTTTTGTTTTTCTCTGTTTCCCACCATGAAGGGTAGGTGGTGCAATAATAGTTCAATGAGTGCATAAATGTCATAATTTAAGATTTTTGATCTTAAGACATTATTCAAATTGCTACACCCTTTAGGGGCTTCCTAATAAATATATGTTTGAATTGAAAAGAAAAACACACCATATTAAAAAGAAATCTTCTTGAAATTTTGAGCAGCTTATTAAGTTACGCATGGAGAATGGTCTTACTGTTTTTCATGTTTATAACACCAACTTTACATCATTTATATGCCCTACTGAGATGGCGGCCAGTTTAAAGATGGCCGCCATCCAGATATTTCAAGCAGCTTGGGGCATTTTCTTGTTGAGTGACTCATGAAGACAGATTATCAATTTTTATGGCTATATCACCAACTTAACAAGAACATCACCCAATTGTTCCACCTAGGTGGCCACCATCTTAAAATTTTAAATGGCTGGAACACTTTCCTAGTAAAGTGGCCCATGAAGAATGCTCACGCCAATTTTGATGCTTGTACCACCATCTGAACGTTTATTTCACTTATCTGCTCCACTATTCAAAATGCTGAAGCACGATTGCTCTGCAGACATAAAAAAAGAGATCACATAACTCCTATACTAGCATCACTGCACGGGCTTCCCGTTCAATTTAGAACATCCTACAAAATTTTACTATTTTTTAATTTTTTTTTATTTGGCTTAGACAGATACAGGCTTTGAGAGAAATTCAAAGAGCCTATCAATGATCTGCAGCTACTCAGACTGGGGTAAATAAAAACATAATGTTTATGGATAAAAGTCCATGAAGCTTTGTGAGGGATAACAGTCATATACTGTGGCGGTATTTGTTCAGCCTCTTTTTGAAGGCGTGAACATCATTAGATGTAATATCTCCAACAACTGCAGGGGGAAGGCTATTCCAAGTTGTTATAGCAGAGTGGAGAAAGCTCCTGTCAAGGCAATTGGTTTTTAACTTGGGGACTTTCAGGGCGTGACTTGGCAGTACTCTCTGGGTGATTCTTCCCACGGTGTGGGCTTGGGGTAGCAGAGCTTTGAGGTCCACTGGACAGTTGGGGGTGTGCATTTTATAAAGAACGGTTGTTGCTGCAACTGTTCGCCGGTGACCCAGCTTGCTGATGGCGTACTGGTGAAAGGCAAGGTCCTCATCCACCCCGATGATTTCTAGCTGCCTAAGAGTGGTCGGAGAGGCGTTCATCAAGGCCAGGCAGGAGTACTCCATGATGCTCCTGGCCTGGGTCTTATAAATGTTGGCCCTGCCCTTGGCATCAAGCTTGTTGGCCAGCTTACGCAGTGCACCAAGACGTTGTCCAGCACGTCTGCAGATGTTGGACAAATGGCTGGTCCATGTGAGCTTGCTGTCTATAGAAAGACCCAACACCTCCATCTGCTTGCTAAGTGTGATCTTGGTGGTCCCAAAGAACAGGTCAGAGACCATGTACCATGTATATACCATGGACAACTTGGTTCCGCCTACCGCCTGTATACGGATTTGGAGCCAAAAAGCTCTCGGTATTTCCGGGACTTTTCTACATTTCTGAAACCAGAGCTGCGCAGTTGCGATGCGTGCATTCGCCTGTGCAGTCGCAGAGATTCGCTGTGATGACGCTTGGCTCAAACAGCGTATCCCCCGGGAGAGCTACGCAATCCCTGAACGCCAATAGGCTGTATCCATAGACTGTATATACTATGGACAACTTTGTTCCGCCTACTGCCTGTATACAGATTTGAAGCCAAATAGCTCTCAATATTTCCAGGATTTTTCTTCATTTCCTGAAACCAGCGCTGCGCAGTAGCAATGCGCGCATTTGGCCGCACAGTTGAAGAGAGTCGCTGTGATGACACTCGGCTCAAACAGCATATCCCTCGGGAGAGCTACGCAATCCCTGAACGCCCATAGGCTGTATCAAGTGTCAATCATAGCAAACATGAACTCCCTAATAACTTTTAAAAATGGAGCTACACAGAAAAAAAGAGGACTTGAGCACAAACCAGTCTGACAGTAACTACATGTCAACATCACAATCAGGAGGGATAAAAAATTATGTTCTGTGTAATAAATTTTTTAAGTTAGTCCACAGCTCCATAAGGTTTGCTGGCGGAGGTAAACAGGGGGTGCTGTTCTCGGCTTCACCCAGCAAGGAGGCAGACGCTTTCCATTCTAGTCTATGGGCCAAACACTTTTGTATTTTGTATCAGCAACATGTTTATTTGTCATTTTGTCACATACACATGCGTCTGATTATAGCTAGCTGAAATAACGCTAGCTGTTTTACCTGTAACTGTGTAACTTTCCAACATGTAATGTCCTCACTCTCAAGGTAACCTAAACCTAATCAAATCAAATCTATGTACAATTATATTTCACAATTGTCATCAAATAATTTCTAAGATACTGTCAGAACAATTGAAAAACCATACTTACATGTATTAGACGGTCTTTTCATGCTAAATGCTACAGTCACTGTATGTGGGTCGTTTCTGACCCATGTATGTAAACTTGATGTAGAAATACAAAATCTGTGCTTCCTCATAACATAAGAAAGAAAAAATAAAAAGGATTATTCGTGCTCAACTAAAACAAGATCTTTACTGCATACTTGGAATAGTAAATGATAAAATTAATTTATTTCAAAGATATACCATAGAAACACTCAGCCATACATGAAATAACATTGAAAATGGATACGGGTCATTTTAGACCCATGTTGTGCATTAGAGGGGTAGTGATACAAAAACGATTTTTATTCTAAAAGTAAAAAAAGAAAAATTAACATAAGGATGTAGGGTCGTCAAAAACAAGTTAATTGAGGAATTCCTTGAGTACCGACTGATGGAATTAATTTTTTGAAAAGATATATAAAATTTAAACTCAGCCGGGTCTTTTTTGACCCATGTTGCGCATCAAAGGGTTAAGTTTATATCCGTTGATCACCAAACCAAGCAGGATAACAGAGCAAAGTGCCACAATAATAGATAATATATTTACAAATTGCATGAACAATGCTTTAGTTAGTGGGTTGCTCATAAAAGACATCAGTGACCATCTGCCAGTTTTTGTGATCTATGGCTGTAACTATGCGAAAGGAGAAGAGGAAAATACAGTTGTATATAGGAGAAAAAGAACAGAGCAGCAAATTAATGCATTTAGAAGAGATTTACTAGCACAAAATTGGAATAATCTCTATGAAGAAAAGGATATTGACAAAGCCTATTAAATATTTCTTGAGACCTTTAAGGCGTTATACAACAAAAACTGTCCAATGAAAAAATATAATGTCAGGAAAAACCATATTGGCAGCCCATGGATCACAAAAGGTTTGCGTAATGCTTGTAAAAAAAAAGAAAAAGAAAAAAAAAATAAGAAAAAAAAAAGAACACCCTCTATAAACAATTTTTAAGGCAAAGAACTGCAGAGGCTGAACATAAATATAAGAAATATAAAAATAAATTAATTAATATTATGAGGACATGCAAAAAAGAATATTATGCCAAATTATAAGAGAATAGTAAAAACAATATTAAAGGTATATGGAAAATATTAAATGGTATTATCAGAAATGGCTCAAATAATAGGAGATACCCTGAATATTTTGTTGACAATGATACTTCCTTAAGTAACATGAATGATGTGGTTACTGGCTTTAACAAATTCTTTGTAAATGTAGGGCCGAACTTGGCTGAGGAAATAAAGGCCACGTGTAATGGTGGGGATGCTGAGGGGAATATTATTCGTAATGTCAACTCAATGTACTTAAATGGCATAGAAGGAAAAGAAATCAAAGACATTGTCAGCAAGTGTAAGAATAAATCATCATCAGATTGGAATGGCATTGACATGATCTTGATTAAGAAAGTAATTGATTCCATTATACAACCACTAACATACATCTTTAATTTATCTTTGACAACTGGTTCATTTCCACAGAAAATGAAAGTTGCCAAAGTTATTCCTTAATATAAAGCTGAGGAGAAACCTTATTTTACCGATTATAGGCCAATATCCTTGCTTTGCCAATTTTCCAAAATACTGGAAAAATTATTTGTTGTGAGGCTAAATCATTTTATTGAAAGTCAAAAGATTCTGACTGGCAGTCAGTATGGCTTCAGAGCAAAAAGCTCAACAGCAATGGCACTTATGGAATTGACAGAGGAAATTACAAACTGTATTGACACCAACAAATATGTCATAGGAGTATTTATAGATTTGAAAAAAGCCTTTCACACCATTAATCATGAAATACTATTTAAAAAAAATTGAAAGGTACATGTAGGAGCCAGATTGGGGTTTTGCAGTTTATTGTTATGTATTTTTTGTGCCAACAGATGGTGCTATTGTGTCTGTCTATTTAATGGGTGGGTTGATTAGGACAGGTGCGCACACCTGGGAAGCCGAACAGTTTTTTTGACCGTGTGAAGTGGTCTTGTGTCTTTGTCTTACATCAAATAATGAATGAGTAAATAAATCAAACAACAGAAGATATGGATGGTGTGACATGTGACATTATTCCACCTACGGGCACGCGTCAACTCAAGCAAAAAGGTGTTCGCCACAAGTAACAGCATTGGAAAGCTGTTATAGTACGGTATAAGGGGAGTTGCATTAAATTGGTTGAAAAGTTACATGCATTGAAGGCAGCAGTTTGTACAGATGGGTGACTATAAATCATCATTGGCTGACATTACTTGTGGTGTTCCACAATAGGCCCAATATTGTTTATTCTTCACATCAATGACATCTGTAGTGTGTCAAATGTGTTGAAATTTGTTTTATTTGCGGATGATACAAATGTATTATGTTCAGGGGAAAATCTCCAGCAGCTTTTGGAGGTCACCACCACAGAAATGAGTAAATTAAAACATTGGTTTGATATAAACAAATTATAATTGAATTTGAATAAAACCAAGCTCATGTTATTTGGAAACCGTAAAACAGACACACCAGTACAAATGATGATAGATAATGTTAACATTGAAAGAGTATATGAAAATAAATTTCTGGGTGTAATACTGAACCACAGAATCTGTTGGAAACCCCATATAAACTATGTAAGAACAAAAGTCGCACGGAGCATCGCAGTTCTAGGAAAAACAAAACACATTTTGGACCGTAAAGCACTTCATATATTATATTGCTCACTTGTACTGCCATATATCAACTACTGTCTAGAAATTTGGGGTAATACTTATAAAAGTAATCTAAAACCATTATGTCGTTTCCAAAAAAGAGCCATTAGAATTGTTAACAAGGTAGGATATCTGGATTACACAAATATACTGTTTTACAATCACATGTCATGAAACTCATGGACCTTGTTGAATACAAAACTGCACTGATTATGTTTAGAGCAAGACACAGGCTTTTGCCAGGTAATATACAAAAGATGTTCAGTGATAAAGAGGGGGGTTACAATTTAAGACGAGAGCCTAATTTCAAGGTACATTTTGCTGGTTCAACATTGAAAACGATGTGCATTTCAGTTTGTGGAGTGAGTTTGTGGAATGGACTGAGCATGGAGGTTCAGCGAAGTCCAAACCTGAATAATTACAAGAAGGCATATAAAAATATTATTTTCAAGAGGTAATCAGATGAGGAGGGTCTGTGTTGACCTATTGAGTCAACACAGCCCTGTTTTCAGTTTTCAATGGGTTGGTCTGAATAATTTTATCCCTGATACTACTGCAGTCATTTAAACTATTGTATATGCAGTAAAGAAGTTTGTGTTGGCAAAAGTGGGGTAGGAGCTTGATAAGTTTTAAACTTCATCCTACTCCTTTTTGGACATTGTTGTTGGTTTTCTTTTTCTTCCTGATTTGTATTTTACTGTCTTATTTGATTAAATAATTGTAACAAGACGACTGCTTTCTGCTCTGTCCACCTTTAATTCACCCCTCAAAGGAATGCAGGCTTCCCTGGTTAGGGGAGGAAATGGGGGTAACGTTTCACACTTAACTTATGGCCAGTTTACGACCCAGGACAGAACCAAAGGGGAAGCTCTCCCCAAAAGGTTGATAGTGAATCTTCATGCTTCAAGGAGACAAGTTGCTTATCAACCACATGACCCCCGAGACCGAATAAACATGGAGCCTCTCACCTTGGCTGGGAAAGATCATAGTTGACACCTCAGCTTAAGGAATGACCCAAAAAGAAAACAAGAGAACATTCTCCAAGGCTGCATTTGGCGCCAATCCTGGAACAGATCCCTACCATAAATCCTTTGAATGACTGTGTTTTTCCATGGCTCTCTTTAAGGTGCAGGAGGAAGAGGATGACTGAAAATGGTATAACTTCATGTTTATTTTCTATCTGTACACCTCATCATCAATGAAATGGTCTTTTCCCCAGCTTTCTAGCATATCAACAAGCCAAACTGTTAACTTCACAAATTTATTCCAGGTTTTCCATGGACCAAGAGCTCCTCCTAGTGGTGTTGCCTGAATATGATTTGGTTAGAACCAAATGTGTATTCAGTGAATTTAATTATGTGCATTTCTTCCTTTTTGTTTTATACACTTCGTAGCTTAGTAAATGGTATTCCCAAGATAGACTAGCAGTTTTAGAAGTAGTAACAGGAAACTCTTTTAGACTCAAGTTAAGAGTTTTTGAATGTATCAATACTATGTTTTTATCTACCTCACCCAAATATATATGTTAATCATTTATGAAGCTTGATTGACAAGGTTATATTGTTGTCAAGTATCATCACGTATGTGTTTCTTATGCTGGATGGTGTTTCTGTTTGAATAGATAATTTGGTTTTCTGTCCCTCTCTAACTTTCAAAAAGTTGTTCATCCTCTGTTATTATCAAGAAAACGGCTGATCAAAAGTTTACTTTTGTTCAATATCATGCTTTAATGCATCTGCTCATAAGAAACAATGAAGTGAAATGTGATCGTATGTGATGTTACAAACAGTTTAATCATAGTGAGTGATCTAGCTCGCTTTTAATATCAAGTTAAGTTAATTCGCTGCCGGTCGACGGGCTGCATTGGGGAACAACGATTGGATATGAGTTGAGCTTTTGCCGTCCTTGGTTCTTTGCTTTTACTTCTTTGTTCTTTTCCGTCTTCAGCTTTTTGTCTTCTGCGTTTTGCGTGTTTGAGTTGTTCTTTTGTCTTTGTCCATCGGTTTGCAATTTTTTCCACATTTTTATTATTTGCCTTAAGCTCAGACTTTTCCAGAAACTTGGATGACACCATACCCAAGTTTCTTTAAAGCATCAGTAACAAGCTGCTTGATAGAGAACCTCAATCTAAGCCTTTTATTTTATTTTTGTTCGCTAAAGTGACTCCTGAAGATAATATTGGATGGCCAGCGAAATTATTTTCTTAAGTTATTTGCGCGAATTAATCTGCAATAAGCTCGTCCTGAACGCCCGGAAGACCGACCAGCATCATCTGCTGAGCTGCGTTTGCCACCTGGTTCCGAGAGGCCAAAAGAACTGAAGTATCTAACGGCGCTGACACGGTCCTGAAGCCTGAGACCATTCACGGCGGAGAACTCCCTGCCGAACCTTCAGCATCTGGTCCGGTAGCCACAGAACTTCGGCTGATCCATTCCAAGAGTGCCGCTGACAACCGACATCCAAAGTAGGCAAACTCCTCGAAACTGCTGTGATGTGAACTGGGTGATGCCGTCAAGCGTTCAGTAGCTTACTTTCCTAGTTATAGTTTAGTTCTCCAAATTCCTTTTAAAATTTATCCTCGTAACTCCGTTAACGTAGGTTAAATTTTCTCTTATTTACTCACTATCATTAACCTCCAGTCTTAGGTTCAGTTTAAACCATTCCTTTGTTTATTCATTAGATGTTCTTTGATTTTCTCATTATTTGATCATCATTTATTGACGTTTTGTTATCATATAGCTTGTTAATAAATTGTCCATTTAATTTTAAGTTGTCGTCTCTTAGTGGTCTTTCCAGAAAGTAGAGTCCCTGAATGGAGAATTCCGGCCTCAGATGAGAGACTGATTTAAATTTGTTTAAGACTGATCCAACATTTGATTACTCAATTGACTTTGTTTCGTCCTTTTCCCACCAGAAAGGTGGGTGGTGCCCCTTCAACGAGTGCATAAATGTCATAATTTAATTTGATTAATTTTGGACATTTATTCTGAATTCAAATCGCTACATAATGTTCGAAATAAAATAAAAATAAAATTAAAAAAATTAAAAAAATTGTTCAGGGACGCAGTCACCTCAGGCACATTTGACAATGTTACTGGTGCGACGATGGTAGAGTCGTCTGCATACAGGAAAATGTTGTTCTCACACTGTTCCACAACATCATCAATGAAGATGGAAAATAACAGTGGGCCCAGAATCGATCCCTGAGGTACAGATGCGTTGATGGGATGTGGTAAAGAAGACTGACCAGAAAGCACAACTTTGATGGATCTTCCTTGAAGGTAGTTCTGTAGCCAGACGTGCAATCTTCCGGTTACGCCCTTTGATGATAGCTTTGCACAAAGGCCAATGTGCCAGACCTGGGGCCTTATTTATCAAACGTGCAAAGAAAAGGTTCTAAATTCTGGCGTAGGAATGAAATTTAGAGTGCGTAAGTACAAAAAAATCCATATTTATCAAACGTGCGGACACCGGTCGTACGCACACACGTAAGTTATCAGTGATGATAAATCCCACCTGTTCTTTACTACCGTGCTCGTGCATGGTTAGGGTCATTTGCATTCAGGAACACCTCCAATTGACCATATATGGCATCAACAATCCCTTTAAAAATGCGTGAATGAATGTTTTTCCTCCTCCTGGAGGCGCACACTCACAGCGCTGTTCTGCAGAATGAATGAGTTGTGCATTCCTCCAGGCCACCAGGCAACAATGTTTAACAGAAACAAATGTGCATCGCAGATTATTTGTGCATCGATTGAATGAAATCTTTTCCTGTTGACGAATCTGAATTTATTGTGTGAAGGTGCTTTTATTGCGATGTGAGTGCAGTCTATGGCTCCAATTATGTTTGGGAATCCGGCGATGGCGTGAAATCCTTGTTTATTTCAGCATGTTGCTGATGTGTGTTTGGGAACTGGATGTAAATTGAGGCTGGAGAAATTATTGCTTTCAACTCTTTCGGCATGATTTTGCTTAGCGTTGGCTGTGAAATGCTGTATATGTCTCCAATCTCACGCTGAAATGTGCGGGTTTGGGTGGACAGGAGCTGGATGTGCGCTGGGATGGCTTTGGTGCGTTTTGTTTCTCGCTCCAACATGGCTAGTAAATCACGGCGTAAATCCATTAAAATGTTTTGGGGAAGCAGTACCTGCTGAGAATCCACTCTGTGTTCTCACTCAACAGATCAGCACGCTCTTTGAAAACGCGCTCCCTGCGGAGGAGCAGACACATCTCCAAGTCCTCCAGTAGTGCAAAATAAACCGTGATACTTGTATTTGTACTTGTAAGACTTCTTTTGAGGTTGTCCTGTCACAGCAGATTTTTATAGCTTGTCTCACCAATCATTCGAAATGTCTGCTAAATGCAGTTGTATTTTCGTCTGGCGGAGCCCGGCGTAAGGCCAGTTTGGTATTTTCGTGGACTGAGCCGCACGGAGGCGAGCCGGGACCCGCCAAGCTGGGCGTGGTGGCGTGGCAGGGGGAGGTGTCGACAGAATCAGCAGGCGCAGTGACATTTTCGTGCTCGCCACCGGCGTGTTAAGTGCGCTGAAAGCTCGCCGATTCAAACCTGGTCAGCTTTTAGCGCATGGCGGAGCGCAGCTGGTCTAGTAGTATTTTGGTAGACCAGCGGCGTATCGACATACGTCACTGATGCCTCACCGGCAGGTTTCCACAGTGTCAGGCACATTTCAGTGCAATAAATAATCAACAACAACTATTAATCTGAGTCAGCACATACATTTAGATCTATATCGATATATTCTGATCTATATCTGATCTGATGAGTGCGTTTGGCACGCGTTTGGACACACAACCTGACCGAATCAACACAGCTGAAACCGCATCAAATTAAATTAAATATCTTGTAAATAAACACACATGATGAAGTTAACAAGATATGTAATTCGTCTCCCTCCTTTTCTTTCTTCCTCTTCCTCTTATTTTTCGCACAGCTCGACCTGGACACGTCTCCGTGTCCTCTGTCCGTCTTGCTGCTGCTGCGGCTGAACAGATGATTTGTTTCAGTGCTCAGATGCGTTATCTACTTTAAGCCGACATACGGATATTATAATATTCAGTTGTGTGAGCCAAATTTATTTTATATGCCAACATCCATGAAAGAAAGAGCCAGGCCACGGAGCGCGATGCGTCATTTACGCACAGATGGTTCCGATTTTAATGCCATTTTTGGAGTTTATGTGGTGATCTGTGCGCTCAACCCACCTTTGTCACGTGAGGTTTGAATATGAGCAACTTTATGTGAGTGTCTTTATTTGTGGAAAAGGGTGTTTGTCTTACCACTGGGTCCAACATTACACACACCAAATCCATCTGTGCTCATATGAGAGAGTGTGGAGGACACTTGTTGAGGAGATGCCCTCTGTCGCCATCTTGTGGCATTACTGTCTTAAGACATCTCTTGATCTCTTTGACTACTTCATGAAAATAGTATTACGCCTCGCCTGTGGCGGATTTAAAGGCAAGGAGAGGAGCTTATGTGATTGGTGAAAACAGGTGTCGGCTGTGTTAAACCCACTCCACGCCCTCTCTCCTCCCCGTCTACGACTTATGCTGCTGGGAGGAGCTGAGTTAGGGAGGGGGATACTTACGCCGGGCTGGGCGGCTCACCAAAATACCAAAATGTGCTTGGGAACGCCTTGTCAGCGCGGCGGATCTGACTGACGCTGCGCTTGCGGCACGTCTCCGGCGAGGCACAAAAATAGAGCCCTAAGTGTGTTTTTTAAATGTTCTGATTTTTATCAAAGTCTGTTCCAAATTTTCCGGCTGTAAAGCACTTTGGTTCAGACTTTGTTTTTTAAAGTGCTCTATAAATAAAGTTGACTTGACTTTAAAATTGACACCGAAATGTCCTTTTTCATAATCTCCCATTGAACAGTCACTAAAGGGATATTCCAGCGTAAAATGAATAAAGGGTCAAACACACCGTAACACAGAGTTAGATTCCCCCTCGAGATATTGATGTTGCTGACCACTTGCTTCTCCAGTTATACCAACTTTGGTAACAACCACACGATAGCAATTCACAGCAGTCTAAGGAGCCATAAACAGACCTGAACCAAAACGCCACTCTATAGCCACAAATAATGCTCAGAACAGCACCTAACTTCATCGACAGTACATATAGGGTCCCAGCCATAGCACTAGCCACCAAGGAAGAGCATTTTTGGTCATTACATTATCATTTCCTTTAAGTAATAATCACCATCCATTTTGCACTGCAGACGCGGTAGTTCTTCTGTCTTAGCGCTTGGTCTATTGCATTTCCATGAAGAAATTATCATAAATGTTCTTTCTTGAGGTGCATCACCCCGTAGCAGTCTGTAATGGACTGGCCTGAGGTCTTGCTACAAACAAGCAGCTGCTGGAAGCGAGACAATGAGTTGTGTTTAGTCTCTTTGCTAAAGAAATGAGGCAAAGTTAAAAAGGCTGTACTATGGCTGGGACCCTATATGTACTGTTGATGAAGTAGGTGCTGTTCTGAGCATTATTTGTGGCTATAGAGTGGCGTTTTGGTTGAGGTTTGTATGTGGCTCCTCAGACCACTGTGTATTGAATTCGTGTGGTTGTTACCAAAGTTGGAATAACTAGAGAAACAAGCAGTCAGCAACATCAATCTCTCGAGGGGGTGTCTAATTCTGTGTTATGGTGTGTTTGACCATTTATTAATTTTACATCGGAATATTCCTTTAACATGGCACCATCTGTGTGGTCAGAATACAGGCTGCATGTTTAAACACTATTACAAAATTCTTGGAGAATATTATTGACACTTTTTAGGTCTTGTGGTTTGAAGCATGAACATTATAATTGACCCATGGAGTATTTTTGCATTGATGGTTACCAGGAGCAATGGAAGTTAGCAGTAAGGATATGTCTGGTGACTACTCTCTTACCTTTGCAGCTCAGCCTGAAAGGTGAGGGGGTTCTTGGTGTTTTGTCTCATATCCAGAATACTCTGTGCCAGTCTGATCGAGCGATTGTACGACTTGTCGAGTTCATCGATGATGAAGAGCAGGTCCGAGCCTAGAGTTGGCATTACGAGCTGGCGCCAGATTAGAGCTGGCAGATACATCAACACTGCCATGGCCAGGAGAGAGTACGGAAACATCTGGAAGGACAATGTGAGATAGAAAAAGGGGGAATGAGTCAGATGGAGTTAACCAAAACATATGGATTTAACAAATGCTTTTGTCTTTGTGGCTGGGGCATAAATCTGAATAGACCTCATTCCCTTTACAGTTGCTATTTTGTGACATCACGCTCAGAAGGAATCTCAAATGATGTTGCCAGACATTATAATTTTGCTCCAGGGTTTTAGGCCATAAATCTTCATTTAAAGCTTCCAGCCCAAAGACAATGTATTGTGAATATGTGGAGTGAGGTTGAGTCATATTTTAGATTTAAAAACCTGCATTTTAACTATCATCGGAACACCATAGGGCTTAGCATTCAATCACTTATTAGGGCCCCAGCCGATGCTGCAAGCAGCAGCAAGAGCCCTATTGAAATGCTATGAATAATTTATTATTATTACTATAATTATCATTAACTTTGACATCACTGATGATGTGTCTAAGCTGCACCTACAGGTGTATATAAAAACTAGTTCAGTCTGGTCAAGCCAGTGACATCTGGGGACAGAAGGTGACTGGATCTTGAAGGAGGAAAAATCAACCACCACCGAGCAGTTCAGGACCATCTTGCTTGTTATTTTCAAGGGCAAGGTGTTTTTGAGGAACGCGTACACTGACATCTCTGTGGAGAAGGGGGGAATTCCAAGGGTGCCAGGATGCATCAAGCAAAGGAGACCTGGCAGCCCTGTGGCTGGACCTTGCCAATGCCTATGGGTCATTCCCACACAAGTTGGTGGAAATGTCTCTCAGCTGACACCATGTCCAAGGCCAGAAGAGGACAGGTCTGGAAGAGGACACCATGTTTCTTTTCCGGCTCTCAACGAAGGCAGACGCTTTTCATATCACTCCCTCTCTACCCTTATCTGCCCTGCTTGCTGCTGTATGTCATGTGCTGTCTCTGTCTAAAAATACTGCAGCCTCTCTCTGCATTTCACTCCAAAACCTAAACTCATGGATTTGATCAGCTGGTCTTTCACCGCAATCGACCAAATTTTCTCGATGAGAAAACTGGGTAAAGGAGTACTGGACTGCCCTGATAGAACATTTGCAGCTGGATACATGATGGACTCCTATGAGAAGTGAAGGGTTGTGTGCCTGTCGATTCTTTCTGTTGAGGATGTTGAAGACGTCTACGTAATTGGAATTATGATTACAGGCTTTCTGCTGTTTGGAGCTGGCCGTTTCCTGATCTATCCCAAAGTTCGGGAGATGTTGGCAGCACTTCTGGCAATTAGGAAGCTGCCCGTCATGACTGAGGAAATGTGACTCAAGCGATATGCGATCTCAATCGCAGGCAGGTTGCGATTGAGGAACACCTTGGCAAGTTGGATACCACCTTGGAGAAGTTGACAGCCCGACTTAGCTGAATTGGCCACCAAATTCCGATGTTTAGGTCAGCGCTCAAGACTCAGACTCAAGGTAGATGGAAAATCTAAAAAAAGTCTGCCTGTCCCAAATCAATTGTTATCTTCATTGGCTCCCCCACAGCGGCCTTGGAGGGCTGTTATGTCTTCTCTTCTGGTTGTTATGCAGACTGATGCTTGGCCCTATCCTCCCCCACCCTCCTTCTCCAGTGAACTTCGTACCTGGATCAGAACTCTCGTAGGCCGTCTGCTATTATCAGATGGCTGGGACATTTGTGAGGGACTGAGATGGAGACAATGCCACAGGCTTACACATACACATACACATACACGAAGAATAATCACACACACCCCCGTCCAACTCAACACCTTCTTGGCCCCCATTCCCCCCTCCCTCCCTGTTGAAGTGCAGGTACTGTGGGTTGATGTTTGCACCAAGTAGGGTTGCGCTCACCTCAGGGTCTGTGCTCCTACACCCTCCCTCCCTGGCACCTGCCCTCCTCCCACATGTGCAAGTTCTTGAGTATTTTTGTCATGTTGCTTATGTGCTGAGGTGTTTTATTACTGATCTCACACTGTGCCCCCCCATGGGAGCAGAGTTTGGAGTTGCCTTTTTTTCCCCTCTTCTTCCCTCCTGTTCTCCTTTTCTCATCTAAGAAAGGAGCACCTGTCAGGCTGGTGATCTGACAGTTCTCCTGTTCCTGTCACACTGTATGCATCTGTCTACTGTATGTTTCTTGGAAAGAATGAACTGTTAATGGGAATTTCCCCTTGTGGGACTAATAAAGGAGTATCTTTTCTCATCTTATCTTAAAACCAGGGACCTCATTCTGGACTATTACAGCTGCTTCAGCTTGACAGCCACTTCTGGATCAACAATGTCAGAATCCCACTGGCTGGAAAAGGGCGTTATCATCGGGTGTACCATCTCTGTGAGTCTGTTTGCCTTAGCCATGAACATGCTAGTGAAGTCAGCTGAGGTGGAGTGCAGAAGCCCAATGACCAAGTCAGGTGTGCTGAAGCCCCCCATCAGAGCATTCATGGATGACCTGACAGTAACCACAACATCGGTACCTGGGTGTAGATGGGTCCTTCAACACCTTGAGCGTGTCATCAGCTGGGCTCGAATGGTCTTTAAACCATCCCAGTCTCAGTCACTGGTTCTGAAGAAGGGGCAAATCACAGACAAGTACCGCTTCTTCATTGGAGACGTCCTTATCCCATCTGTCAGAGAAGCCTGTTTAAAGCTTGGGCAAGATCTTTGATGGCACCCAGAGGGACACTGCAGCACTGAATACAAGCAGCAGTGAATTGAGAGCCTGGCTCACTGCAATGGACAAGTCAGGGCTGCCAGGAAAGTTTAAAGCCTGGATTTACCAACACAGCATGTTGCCACACCTACTCTGGCCACCGCTGGTGTACAATGTCCCACTGACCACGTTCAAGGGCCCAGAGGGGAAGATCAGCCACTTTCCTGCGCAGGTGGTTGGGCTTATCTTGGAGCCTCAGCAGCATTGCCTTGTATGGGAGTAAAAATAAGCTACAGCTCCCCTTCAGCAGTTTGACAGAGGAGTTCATGGTTACCTGGGCAAAAGAAGGGCTGCTGTACAGGGACTCACACACCTAGGTCTCCTCAGCAGGCTTTGAAGTGAGGACTGACAGGGCGTGGGGGACTCAGGAGGTGGTTGACCAGGCAGAGTCAAAACTGTGGCACAGTGTGCTAGCAGACACGGTGGCATCTGTGAGAGCAGGGCTGGGCTGGGCAGCAACCCAAGACCATGCTATAACAATGCCCGGGGTGAAGAGAGGCACCAGCTAGTCCAGGAGGAGGTCCAAGCAGGGGTGGAGGAAGCCTGATTCTGCAAGGCAATGGGGATGCCGCAACAGCGGGCATGGACCTGATGGCAGCAGGCAGTGGATCAGAAGATCTGTGGGCTGGAGTTGTGGAAGGTAGAGCCACAGCGCATAAGGTTCTCTAATCCATTCCACTTACGATGTCCTGCCCAGTCCATCCAACCTTTTCAGCTGGGGCCTGGCAGACACCCCAGCATGCCCACTATAGGATAGGATAGATAGAGGATAGGAGGATAAGATCCCTGGAGCACATTCTCAGCTGCTGCCCAAAAGCCCTGGGAGAGGGGTGTTACCATTGGCGCCATGATCAGGTGCTAAGAGCAGTGGCAGAGGTCATCAACACAGGGATCACTAACAGCAGGCTGCAGAAACCACCAGCAAAATCAATAGCTTTTATCAAGACTCGAGAGAAGCCAAAGTGCCACCTACACCAACCAGGGGGCCTTTGGCAACAGCGTGGGACTAGCAGCTGAAGGTTGACCTCGGGAGACAGTTAAGATTTCAAGACAAGATCACAGTGACAAGGGTCAGGCCCAACATCGTGCTGCTGTCAGAGACATCAAGGCAGGTGGTCCTGCTGGAGCTAACTGTCTCCTGGGAAGATCGGATGGAGGAGGCCTTCGAGAGGAAGAGGGCCAAGTATGAGGAGCTGACCAGCATGTGTCGAAACAATGTTGGACAACCCCATGCGACCCCATTGGGTTGGGTGCAGAGGCTTTGCTGGCCAGTCACTCTGGAGAGCACTGAGGAGACTGGGGATTAAAGAGCTGCACAATGGGAAAGCCATCAAGAACATCACTGATGCTGCAGGGAAGGTGTCAAGATGGCTGTGGATCAAACAGGGTGATCTGTGGACACAAACTGCTAAGACACAAGCTGGGGCTTGATCAACCCTGGCTGGGTCACTCAGTAGTGCCCCCTTCAGATTACTATGCTCGTTAAGTTTTTAGTGGGACTACAAAACTTTGTGGGTGCAAACATTTCTCCATGATATTTCATTTTGCACACTGTCTAAAATGCATGTACATTTTTTTTTTCAATCTTGTCAATTATTTTGGCCAAACCACGTTATGTTTGGAATTTTCTCTCATCCATTTTCAGTTTGTCCTGCAATGACTAAATGTGATGTTGATAACCTAGAAATTTTAAAAAATATAAATCACAAAGATGCAAAAAAAAAAAAAAAAAAAAAATCAGCACCATTTTTCATGTAACTTTGATTCCATGGCACTATAATGTATCTAAAAAATAGTATTTAGTGATATTACTTTAGAGATGCACAGCCACAGGAAATTTGGTACACAGATCAGAAGGGGGGCCTTTTGTAGGTTTCCACATCAAATGAAGATACCCAAAAATGGCTTCATAAAGCCTCCTAAAAATTTCCAGAAATTAAGCCCAACCCCTGTCTGTGACCTAAAGCTATGGAATGTGGGAGGCTAATTAAGGACCCCAGGACAAATAAAAAAGCTCATTAGACACATGGGCCACACTGAACCAGAAGTCAGCCATATTGGTTTGTAAATTTGGGTTTTTCAGATATTTGCTCAGATTTTTTAGGTCTTTTTCAAAAATGTATTCCCCCTAGGAATTTTAGAGCTCAAAAACTGAATCAGTAGCCACAGGTCCCTACAATGGTCTACTTTCAAACTGATGTAGACTGATGAAGAGACCTTTAGAACGATCATTTCAAAAAAATTAAGTGTTAAGGTCAAAGGGTGTTTGCATGGCCATGGCGCCTTTTTAGACTTTGACGTTTTGCCACCATTAAGGGTGGCGGCGCGACACTGTTCGGGCCCACCAGGCTCCACGGGATGCTTGTTTATGTAAAGATTTTTTAATTGAGTTGTCCAGACTGAGGACTGTAAATCACATCTTTCATGGTTAAAAGGGGGCAAAGGTAGTTCAATATGTATAGAAGTTTAAACAACCTACCATTTGGATCACAGTGATGAGACTGATAACAACGATGATGACAGTAATAGGGCTTTCCAACCTAAGAATTCTTTAAAGACAAACATTGCTGCCATGTGAATGTGGTCTATCAAAGTCTGAAATCCTGCTTTGTTATATATTTGAGGAGCTCTAATGTTTCTGACAGGGCCTGAGGTTTGTTTCCCCTCATATGTTAATGTTAAAAGTATAGACTGAACTTTATATTCATCAATCTCTTTTGGGAAAGTTAGATATTTATGCAACCAGCTGTGATTAGCTGTTCTTGGATGTTTTTAAAGCTTAAAGCTTGTCAGGCTGGGTGTTGTGTTGAAATGTTTATTTAAGTTCTTTCTATCTCTGACCATCTTACAGTAAACTCAACCATCATCACCAGTGGTGACATTAAACATGTCTACTGGTACGGTTACAAGGATTTTCTTGGGTTTAAATGGTCCTGCAGTGATTTAAGTTGATGCCAATTTTAACCAAGAACACAAAATTATCTGTATTAATAGGTTTTTATACATATTGAGGACTTCTTTGCTGGTGAACTTATCAGTATTGAATGCCACAGTCAGCCTCACAACAGCGGGCAAAAGCAGCTTACAGACTTATGAGGTGCTGTCCTGTTGGGAACCAGAGGGCTCTGTGGGTCTATGGTCTTAAAGGATTGTTTCAGACAGAGGCTCAACTGTAGACCGTCATTAACTTAATAATGTTATTTTGAAATGTGGATCATGCAAAGCTTCTCTAGTGAGGTCCCAGGATACAAAGTTAAGGCTATGAAATGAGCATATACCATAGGTCTCTATCAGCGCATCTAAATGGGAATTTAACATGACAAGAAGCTTAATTAGCATTTTTGATCTTACTTTGTGGACCCAGAGCGAGCGCTCCTCAAAGTTCCCATCACTGTCAAATTCATGGTGCATGAGGGAGTCCCAGCAGTATGTGTCCACATAACTCGCCTGCTTGATGGTGAAGTTGCCGGGAGGGAAACAGCTGATCTGAGGCCCTGAAGAATAAACAAACATTTATCAGTAACATTTTCTGCTAATGTAGAGGATTATATTCTCTAGCCTGCTCTATTTCTGTAAGTACTCTCTATTCATAATGCCTCTTGAACACACACACTCACAGTAGACTGCCAAACACAAGCTCCTCCATGCACTCGGAGGAGCAGATTGTTGCTGCAGAAATCATATGTTTTCAAATTGCAGCCTGGCATTAAAAACTCTGGGTGTCCTCATGCCAGAATTGGACCTTTCCACCTTATATTTAGTTGACCTTGATACACCCACTTAAATCCACGCTCTGTCATTTCTGAGGAGCGCTCCACCCTTAAAAAGAGAGCATGGGGAAAGGGTGTGCCCAGAGTGACATGGAACGTCTATTTTTTACAAGCATGCTCCACATCTGCTGGACTCAAGCTGCCAGTCCAACTCCTTCAACAAGCAGAAGTTACATGATCCACTTTTATGACAGATGTATTTGCTCATTATAAGAAGTAACACCTTAATTATAATTACATGAACAGGAATGGCATTGACTTATATTTATCATTAACTGGAGCCTGTATTTATGTGCAGGAAACACAAGAAAGTATTTCAGGACTCTGACCCCAGTCTAAACATGTTTGGTCAGAATTGGTTAATGTTTATTTGGTGAGTGACTTTAAATTTGACTTTTATGTTATTTCACTTACTGAAGGCAAAAGCAAACGGGCATCAGTAACATGTTCTTTTTCACCTACACATCGAGACAGAAGAATGATACTGTAGGGAACCCAAAATTTTAACCCAATTTAAACTCAAAATTTGATGTTAATTTGAATTTCTGCATTTTTAGACTTCTATGGGTTATTATATTCTAGTAACTACTACATTTTTCTGCTTTGTTTACACAATTTTGTTCAATTTGGTTATATACTCAGGCCCAAGGGTCTGATCACTTAATTTGATGAAAGATAGCAGGGTTACCCCACACTATGGTTAGGCCTTATATCATGTCTTTATTTTCTGCACAAATGGGAAGTCTTATAAGCCAGCAGTTCTTCATTACCACTCAATATTGCATAGTCAGCATTGCTCTGGATTTATTTACACACATCCCACATGTAAACCCTTTTTTACTGTGCTAATAATATTGTCATATCATATCTTGACATTATGCACCATTTTGATTTCTCACTTAAAGGCCACATTACCTTCTTTGGAAGGTTAAAACTAGGTTTGCAGCTCCAGAAATTTGTTTGGGGGCAGAGAGGTGGGCAAAAACATCTTCCTTCAAATAAAATGTCCCTGACCCTGGTTTAATCGGTGTTAAAAAGTAGAATACCAAGTTCAAAAATTTCTCGTAAATAAAATTTGATCAGAGCAGGTTTAGGTTGAACAAAAGGGGAAAAATAAAGTAGAAAAGCGATTTCCTTTCCTTTTTTTTACCCTTTTTTTTTTACAGAAATAAGTAAATATTTGAAGTGGAGTCCATCAGGAATAGCATCAGGTACAAGACAGATCAAAGTGTTATATTTCCATATGACCTTTCTTGGTTTCTCGAGTGTTAAAAAATGTTTTTTTTTTCCTCTTGATTTTCTTAAAACAGTCCAAAAAATTTAAATAAGTCCACATTACTTCTTAACTCCTACAAGATTCCTGGCTGTGAGATACTTAATTCTGATTGGTCATAACTCAAAGACATTATTAATTACTAGGGATGTAACGGTAGTTTCAATATCACAGTATATCTGTTTCAAAAGTCTCGCGATAATGCAGTGGCATGTGATGGTATCAAACAATAGCTTGGAGTAATCCCGTCAGTGTAATTATTTTCTGGCACTATTGAGTGGGCCAGTCTGACCACATCTCCCATGGTCCTCTGCACAGTGCAAGAATAGAAAGCAGAAACCACAGAGGGGGAGCATAGCGGGAAACTTTTATTAATTGAACCTCTTGCTGAGTTTAAATCAGAAATATGGAAGCATTTTTGTTATCTGGTAAACAAAAATGAATGAAGAGAAAAGATGGCAGACGTGCAAAAAATTGTTTGCAGACACTGCCAGACCGAGATTGTCAAAGGTTTTAGGGAGCACAGGCTTTATAAGAAGCTATGTGATTAACCATTAATCGAAAATGATTCATGATGCCAAAACAAGAAGCAAAGCATTTTATATTTACTGCATAAGAAGTACCACAATAAAACCATACCGTGGCCTTAATACTGTAACAATATTGTACCATGAGATTTTGATATCGTTGCATCCCTATTAATAAATCTGGAATATATTCAGTCCCACTGAATAAATCCCTTTTCCTCTTCATCCAGAGGGAAAGGGATTTCAAAACTTGCATTGCTTTCGACAAAGTCCACAATGTGCAGCTTATTTGCCATTGTGTAGCTCTTTCTAGGACTGTCAGTTTTTACCCTGGTTACCAGGGCTATGGTAAAGCTAACTGGCAAAGTGTTCGTAGTTGTATGGACTGACTATGTGACTGCATTAGCTTTAGCTTGTGCATTAGCTACAGAATGGACCCTAAAACAATTTGCAGAGACCAAAAACAGCTTTCTCTGCTGATCAATTAATGCACCAAATTAAAAATCAATCCAACCAGACTGGCATGCTACAAGATGAGATATCACTGTTTTCTTCACATGTACTATTACACATCTTTGCTGTTGTTTGAGCTTGTTTAAATGAAAATACATCATCTGGTTTGTTTACAACAGCAGCCTGAGCAGACTCAAATGAACATCTCATGGGTGGAAGCCACCATCTTGGTTGATTTCAAAAATGCTAAAGCAATGCTCTTGTATCATCTTCTTTGATTACAAACTGTGATCAGGTCGGCACATTTGGCACTGATGGAAAAATGTCAAGTTCAGCAGTGTCACAACCACCTGCCTGCAGAATCAACATAAGCTGGCTGATGGCTCCAGAGACACTGGGCTAGCTTCAAAAGATATGTCTCAAGTTTTTATATTTTCAACAACATGAAAGTGGACAAATAGGCCCATTTTTTTTTACCTCAGTTTTCTATATTAATGTTTTTTAAAGGAACATTCACAAGTGTTATGTATGGTTTGCATGATCGAGCCCTGTTTCACATCACATGTTGATGTTGATGTGAGCACATCATTGTTTTATAGTTATTATTATTGTATTTCAATTCAAATAATTATACCCATTCTAGGAGGACATGTGTTGCTCCTTATTACATTATCCTTATTACAGCCATTTTGTATAAATTCATACAAACCTGAACACATTTGAAAGACTGAACAGATCAGGTTGAGCTCAGAGTACATGATGTTACTGATCTGATACTCGTACAGTAGATGGAGCTGTACAGGAGGATGGTCTAAAGAGGGCTGTGTTTAATATCTAACCTGTACTATATGCAGCTTCCGATGGACATGACAAGTCAATCTAAATAAAAAGAACAGCAGCAGACCCCCCCCCCCCCCCCCCCCAAATCAGCACCCCGTGAGCCATTTGGCGAAGTGAGAGAAGTTAAATTTCTGCCTCTGCTCATATCTTCTCCTCCCACTCCCCTGTTAACTTTGGCACATCATCCCTGTTTTTGTGTTTTACAGTTTAATTCTTGGCTGAGTGTCCAGGTGCTAGTAAACCAGACTCCAAACAGCAGCGCTCCAATCAAGCAGTGCTGTGAAACTGACAGCCTGGCAGACAGGCAGCCAAGATCCATTAGCCGAGCCTGCACCTCCGACACCACATCATGTTCTGCACCCCCTCTCTTGTTAATCAACATATCCTCTCATTTGACTAAAGTCGAGGGAAGCTGCCACACAAGAACTTAGCCTCGTAATTAGAGCATGCCGGCGTTAGTGAACGCTGCTCTCAATCATCCCCGTGGCAATTAGCATCAGGAACAGCAGGCTGATTTCAGACTGGCCCTGAGGAGACGTCATTTAGTTCAAAGTGGAGGGAGTCAGCCACTCAGTAACAGACCTGACTTAAGACCACAGATGTGCCACGTTCTCATCAGACTGTCAGCAGTGCTTTTTCTGTCTTTGAATGATCACAGAGAGCTGCTGTGGGCAGGTTTCACATGAATAAACAACACTTTCCAACAATAAAGCCACTTTTGACTTGAAGTACCCAGGCTTTGACTCCAAGGGTTGTTCAGTAGGTCTTATCCAGGTAAAAGGGATGACAATTTGAAAATCCACCTCTGAGTAATCCAGGGTCAGGTTTCCAGTTTGCTTTTACCCTCATCTTTAAAAAAAGACTGTAGCTCATCCAGTCACACACTGTCATAGATTACCAGGTGACAAATGCGGAATGGAACTACAAACTGTGTCCACAGGGGGTGCCAAAAGGTAAGAAATCATCATATTGGCAACTTCACCTCCTATATTGTCAAGCTATACTAAGTATACTGTGTATTATGTCATAATACATATACAAAACCATCTGGAAACAATTAAAACAACTGTATTCTATGTACAAAGGATTCACAAGCATTGATAGGTGAAGGTCTTTTGGGCTGCTGTTAGGTACTTAAGTTTGTGTAGATTTTGATGCCCCCTTCATATCTTACTGTTCTGCTAATCTTGTCTTGTAACAAGCATAATGCCCGACAAAGAATTGCCTGTTGCTGTTGCAATGTTAAGGGAGTCTATTTCTTCTCCTGCTTCCTCGTGTTGGTTTCAAGCATATAAAATTTTGAGGCAAAAAATCTTCAGTCAGAAAAGTTTGATGTGGACATATAACATTGCCACTTACTGACTACTGACTTCATTTTTAGATTTAATCACAAGTTCTTTCTTGGCATTTCGACTTTGTTCATTTTCATTCTCACAGTTCTTTGTACTTCTCATACATGAACTTTTCATTCAGAGTGCATCATAAAAATAAAACCCTCCCTTCTGAGGCGGTTAAATCAAACTTTGCCTATGCACTGGGCTACTCCAAAAGCTTTCAGTGGAAACTTCTTGCAGTGGGAGTGGACTTTAAATGAAAGAGTGGAGCTATAATTCTGCTGTGTGTCTTATCAGTGTATCAGTCTTTGCAGTATCTTTCCAGTGGAGTGTCTGTTTGCATCTCTGTTTTATGATGAGATGTTGTTTGAATGTTTTTCTTGCTTCACCCTCATCTTTTTCAGAAGAGTGCAGTGTGGTTTCAGCTCTTGTTGTGATCCCTCTTAATATAAAGCTCCCTTAAGTTAAGTAGGATGCATCTGAGAGCTAAGATAAGAGCCGGCTGGAGAGGAGCTCAGATACGCTCACTCGTCATGGTTCAGGACTTTTAACTCCAGCAGAACTGGGTCATGACGGTGTTATTTTTGTCCAGAGCCTTCCTGTTAAGTTTGGATTAAAAAATAGGCCACATGAATAATAAGTATCTTTGTATTAGTATGGATGTTATTCTCCCTTATCACAAGTTGCAGTTTAGCAGGTAAATAATAAACAGTTCAAGGACAGTCAGAGTGTGAATCCTTTACAGATGATGCTGCATAGAAGCTGAAACAAGACCAGGGAATAAAAAGTAAGCACTCATGAATACAGACTATAATGAAAGGCAGAGCCAAGGGGAATACAGAACAGAAGTCCTCACTTTTTTCCAGGAAAAGGACAGAGAGACAGTTTCTGCTCACCCAGCGAGATCTCTCGGGCAAAGGCCATGCACACCAGCATGAGCGGCAGGCCCACAGACACAAACTTGATGACCTTGTCCAGAGGAAGCTCCAGCTCCAGGTGCTGGATCCGGTTCATCACTGCCCCCTCTTGCAGCAGGGAATCAGATAGCAAGGCCTTGGCAGCTGCCTGGGCGATCGACATTTTAACTCCTACACAGAGATAAGAAAAAGGTTCATTTTTGACAAGTTCAAGTAGATAAGACAGAAACTGTGATTTCAATGCTGTAAGAGCAAATCAGACTCATGACCTCTGCCACGTCATTGCTCAGCTTTTGTTATCGCTTCTCTGTCATTCAACTGGATGTGTGATTTATTAACACAGATAAGGCTTTGATAAGGCTACTATCATTAAAAAAAGTCAAACTGTGGATTAATAGTTCTTAAAGAGGAAGTTCAATTAAAAAGGCATCAAACATTATAGCAGACTGATATCTTTTTAACCTGTGAACAGCTTTAATCTCACAGTTGTACATACACAGGTAGTTATGGGAATTAGAATCCAAACATGGTGAGACTGGACCCAGACATCTTACCCTATCAGGATTCTGATATCCGTAACAACCCATGTCCGTCTTATAAACCTGCCTATTACCTGACTACCAACCTGAATCAGACACATCCTAAATGTTGTTAAGGTTTTAGCCCAACCATTTAACATGCTAACTTAAACCAACATATTGTGTTGCTCTTCCTATGAAGCGTTGTTGAACCTTCAAATGAGGTCTTCTTTGCTGTGTTCTCCAGACGAGATCATATCATTATCCATGTCTTGCTGTTTTCAGTTTCAAAAAATCGTTTTAATAATTTAATTTTTTAAAATTATTTTTCTTTGTATTGTTGTGTTTTTAGAGTTTATTTGCGTTTTCTGAAATGTATCTCGTGCCTATGATTTTTTTTCTTCATTGAAAGAAAAGTTTGTGTGTCAATAAAATATTTATTAATTGCTTTCATGAAATATTCGGCAATTGACCTTTAGGGGCCCTGTAGTCTGTAGTTAGAGGGGCTAATGTTTGCAAGACCGCAGCTTGCTTGGTGTAATCCAATTAACATTAGCCTGTGGCTAATCTAGATAATGAGCTCTGAGGACTTATCGGCACAACAGCTGAATTATTTTTGCATCACCACACAAAAACAGAGCACAATGATTGATCTTTTAACGCCCATGTTATCATTCAGGGTTTACCACAACCCTTTCATTTACTCAACTTCAACATCAGCACTAAAAACAATCAATGCAGTCTTGACCAATCAAAATCAAGTACTGAATACAGCTGGATGATTACAAAAAAAAAGGGGGTTATAACTCTAAATAAACTCTCACTTGTGGCTGTGACACAATTTCCGAAGCACATACTGTGTAATTAATGGGAATCTAGTAAGGATGAGCCTGAATATGAATTTGGAAATAGCACTGATAATGACACTTATACATATTCTTCTCATATTTAAAGATGCTTTTATTATTCAGAGGTAGATCAAATTCTTATTTCATCTCTTTATCTTGCTTCTTCATATTTAAACAGTATCTTCTGACTAGGAAAACTCATCCTGTTTCTTCCAGTGAAAGGCCTGTTAAAGCCTTGAAAAAAGCAGTAAAACCTTAAAATCAACTCTAAAACTTGCCGGTGGAGACTGCTCTAATATGCTCACTTCACTTTTTTTGAGTGAGTGTGTTCATTACCTGCATTTAAAACAGTCCCAATGGAAAAGTTTTTTCACGCAGCCCATGTTATAGAAATGATCTGTCAGATATTGTGATCTTGTCTCTCTACTCTCAGGCAGCAGGCTGCACACAGAAACCATAGCTGTCTTTTAGAGTTTTGCACTGGAGAAGAAGGCATTGTTGGCTCAGCAGTAAAAGTTGTATTTCTTTAAACTTTTTATTTTGCATACTTTTGCAATTTAAACTTAAAATTCTCTATTTTATCTAGTAAAACTGTGCAAGGAAAAAGGAAATCCAAAACTCATATTTTCACTATAGTAATAATGACATTAAAGATAACAGAGTAGGAATGGGTACAAGTCAAATGAAAAGGCATTAAAACCATCTTACCTAAAGTGGTCCAGCTCTCTCAGTGTACTCTCCCTGTTTTAATGTTTGTGGAGCCACAGAGTCCCCCTAAAGGCCAGCTGGGTTCTGAAAAGCTGTTTAAGTATTTTGGGAGGAACTCTGTAAATGAGGGGTTGGATCTGGGCTGGACCAGGCCGAGCTGGGTTTGACTTTAATTACAGAGAGGACATCTGGGAGGATGGAGGCACCCAGATGGCTCAAGCTGCAGCAGAGCCCCTTTGCCCACCACTTTGTGTGTGTTAGTATGTGTGTGTTTCTCTGGGCAGGCCTGTGCTGAGAGGCTGGGTGGCTCAGGCCCACTTCAAACAAGTCAACCATGGCCAGTGGCTTTTTCAGCCTCTGTCATTCTGGGACTATTTTTACTGCCTGCAGCCTCAAAGCTGCAGAGCTGACACACAGTAGCACACAGCAGGAGTGGTCCTGTTTCCGACCTCTGCAGCACATGTCTAATTAACTGTATCATATCTGTTTCAGGTTTCTGAAACACTAGATCTCTTTAGATAATGAGAAGTCTGGTAATGTGTCTCTGACCTTAAAACTAATCTAGCTCTAACTAAAACGATTTCAGGGATCTAACCATTGCAAGTGAGAAGAACATGATTCTTGAGTGGAGTATTATGCTGCTTGCTGTCTGAAAGCACACTGATTTGCCCCCTTAAAGGAGCAGCTTCGGTCATGTGTTGACATTGGTGAGGAAACTCTTGAGAACGCCCGGCTGTCTATACTTGTTTGGCCTCTTTTTTAATGTGCTGCAACAGTGTGAAGAAGCCAAAGTCTGCTGAGTCTGTTTGTCTGTAGGTTAATAGATGGGTCACATAAACTCAGGACTTCCATCCAGAACTTTTTCAGTAACGTGACTTCTTTTTGAGTACCTTTACCTAAACCAACATATTTATAAACAAGTGTGATTTTTACTGATGTCCTTCTGTGCCTTAACACAACACCATTGTTGTACAGTGCTAAAAGTACAGTCCATAACTGATTCAAAGACACTAAGTGCAAGGGGCCTGATCTACTAAGATCCCAAATAGCAAATGCTAAATGGCATCTGCAAACTAAAAAACTGCACATGCTATTAGTGGGCGTGTTGTGGGTGATTTATCATTGTGTGTGCAATTGATATCAGGTGCAAGAGTGGTGTGGACCGCCTTTTTAAACTAGGATTTTGTGTGCGCTATTGGCTGTCACCATGGAGAGTTTGGGAGAGCAGAGTGATCGTAGCCGAAAAATTGCTTTTGAAGCCATGGAGTTGCACGTATCGTGTTGGGGAACTGCATAAAAGTCGAAGCAAGGCAATTTTATTTGTAAAACACCATTCATACACAAAGCAACTCAAAGTGCCTTACAGATGCAAGAGGATATACTAGAAATCAAAAAAGGGACTAAAACAATTTAAAATCAATAAGACCAACAGATCAATTTTTTCATCTGTTCAGTGTTTGACCTTATTGAAAATCGTAATTTACCAAAAAAAACCAAAATAAATCACAAGCGTTTGGACAAGGATCAAGGATCACTTCTGCATCCTTTTCCCCACAATGACTGAGCGTAACACTGTTCCAGTTTTCACCTGCCTTTCAAACGTGCTAAATATAGACGCAAAACAGCGACCGCAATCTGTTTGTGTGTGGAAGCAGTGTTTTATATGTAAACTGCAATCTGTTATTTTGATGTAAACAAAATTGAAAAGATTCTCATCCCAAGAAAAGGCAAGCGGTACATCTTCTACCCCAGAACTAAGTTTAGACCCTCTTTCCTGCAGTCCAAATGCACAGAGTTCCTCCAAAGGTACCTCATTCAAGGGTAAAGTTCCTGTGGTTGAAAAGTACCTTAAAGTGGCTGTCATGCAGCACCTCAGCCTATTCCATCAGTAAATGTTGGAAATTCAAATGAATTACAGACTTTGCTCATCCTGTGTTAATGCACCACACAAAACTCTAACGTCAAAAGGTAACTTACCAGAGGTCCCCATATGATACCCATTCTGTGCAAATAGTGATTTATGCGTGCCAAAATAAAGTAGGTGACTTTCCCCGACTTTACACATTGCAGACATAGTTGATTCCTGAGGGATTAAAAAAAACACAGACCTCCTCCACATTTATCACAAATTATCAGAGCTCCCAAGGTAGCAATAATCTTGTAAAAAAAATGGTGTTTTACTGATATGAGTGTAGCTGATTTCTCTCCCACACAGTTTCTGAACTTTTGGTTTAGAAGTTCAAACAGGAAATAGAAACACTTGATCCCCGTGTCAACGCTTCTGTGGGGCCTTTCATTTACAATCAAGTTTGGCCCTCCCTGTGGACGATGTTTGTCTGAACTCTCTGCTGATCTTTTCCAAGAATGAACCTCTAAAGAAAGTTGGTTGAAGATTAGGTTGAGGGGTCATTCCATGTCAATTCAACCAAGGATCTCCACTCACGTCACAGATTTTGATGAAATTTGGTGGAGTGATTGGCCTTCAGGAGAAACTGTCAGAGCTCAAATATTTTTGATCAAAGCCATCTAATTTGTGAGATAGGGGCTAACGAATTTTTGGCTAACTAGCATGACATGCATTACAAAAGTGTTCATATCTCTGGAAGTATGGCACCTAGAGAGCTGATTCAGGTGTCATTTTAAAGCTCTCTTCAAGTTCTACATTTTTGTTCTTAACATTTTCCCCAAATTGGACCAGAAAAATTTATAAAAGACCAAAAACTTAAGTTGGAAATAGCAAAAAACGCGCGTCCTTCAATTTTCTTCATATACACACTAAAGAAAGACTATCATGTCCACTAGCATCCCTGCAAGTTTCAGGATGGGCATTCCATAACTTTTTGAATAATAAGTCAAAATTTGTTGTACGTTAGCTCGAAAATCGCCATATTTGGCACATTATACAGTCCTGACCTCATCTGGAGTCAGCCCCACTTGCCTGCTTGTGTAAAATATTACTTCCTCATAGTGCAAAATGCTTTTTTTGACTTTTTTCATTTGTATGTTATCCTATATTTATATGAAAAATGGCTAGAATAGCTTATTTTTGCTCAGTTTTCCATTGCATTTCTTTTCTATTTGCACCTATATCCAGAATATGAACGATCTTAGCTTAATGGGAGAATCATTTGGATATACCTGCATGTCCTGGATCCTAGGGTTGACAAATAACTTCTACCTATGCATCCTGAAATTTTGTTGCTGGTTTCCCTGTGAAGTATTCCAGGCTATTTATCCTGAGCCCTTTCAACGTTTCCTTTATACTTCAAATAAAGCTCCTCCCAGCGGCGTAAGTCGTAGCTAGGGAGGAGAGAAGGCATGGAGTGGGTTTAACACAGCCAAGACCTGTTTTCGGCAATCACCTAAGCTCCTCTCCTCACCTTTAAATCCGCCACCACCGGTGAGGCATATTAAAATTTCCGTGAAGTAGTCAAAGAGATCAAGAGATGGCTGAAGAACGCGATGTCACACGATGGTGACAGAAGGCAGCCTCTCAACAAGTGTCGCTGTAAGTGCTGCAGAGGGCATCCTGCACACTGTCTCATATAAGCACAGATGGATTTGGTGTGTGTAAGGTTGGACCCACTGGTAAGACAGACACCCGTTTTCACAAATAAAGACACTTACATTAAGTTGCATATATTTAAACCCCACATGACAAAGGTGGGTTGTGTGCACAGATCACAACATAAACTCCAATAATGGCATTAAAATCTGAACCATCTGTGCATAAATGACGCATTGTGCTCCGTGGCCTGGCTCTTTTTTTCATAGATGTTGGCATATAAAATAAATTTGGCTCACAAAACTGAATATTATAATATTCAGTTTTATTTTATTCTATATTCTTATTCTACCAAAATACCTCTAGACCAGCTGTGCTCCGCCTGCACTGAAAGCTGACCAGGTTTGATCGGCGAGCTTTCAGCGCACTTTCCATGCCGCCAGCTGATTCTGTCGACACCTCCCCCTTCCGCGCCACAACGCCCAGCTTGGCAGACCTCGGTGTGCCTTAGCATCGGAAATACCAGACTGGCTGTGCACTGGGCTCCGCCAGATGAAAATACCACTGCGCGGGGTGAGCCATCCTCCTCCGCGCCGTCGGCGGGCATGAAAATAGAGCCCATGGACAAAGGCATTAGTCAGAACATGGGACATAGGAGCTTAAAAACTGAATCAGATGACCTGATCAAACTGCCTACCCTATGCATACAGTCAAAACCTAAAGGTACAAAGTTTGATTCTAGTGGATAGTTTCCAGGATTTTAAAGAAATTCACCTGCCAAACGTTCAAGGTCCAACCATCCCCCAGCGTGAAGGGGTCTTGTTATACACAGCGACTGGCTGGTGTGCAGTCTGCTGCATTTGAGTAGATAGACAAGGTCCAGAATCTCTTGAAAATAGCTCTGCATGGAGATTGGTTGAAAAAACTTTTGTTTAGGGCTTTTATAAAATGGAAATGAACTCATCCTGTTGAAAAAGACAGTTTCCCATCTTTGTTTTAATATGTACGGCCTTCTGAATGAATCCAGCAGGGGGCAGAAAATGATGACTGGAGCTGCTTGGCTGCAGGGATTGAAGTCTGCAACGTAATTTTTGGCTTTTATGTTATCAACTGTAACTGTTAAATAATGGCGCCGGTAATGGCGACAGGCAGCAGCAGCTCCTGGGTGCTCTGTGTTTTCTAACCTGTCCTGTCTCGTTTTTTTCGTCATTACTAACACTCACCCTAAGATGATCCACATGTGATAAAGCTTAACCATGCCTCACGTTGGTTTGACGGGCATCACTGTCCTCTGGATACTTTTATTCCACTTTATGTGCGGACTCTGCGAGCTCAAGGAACCGCTCCAGTATGGCCGAGAGTTTCTCCTGTGTTTTCGCAGCTCCGGAGCGGCTGCTGTGGACTCATCGGTGGTCTTCCCCGCGGAGATCAGCCGACAGGATCACACGGGGGGCCCGAGGTGGTCATCCAAGCCAGCAGCCGCAAGGAAAAGGGGTAGACATGGTGGGATTCGCCAGCGCCTGAGAAGACTGGGACCCCGCCGTATCCCCCTGCCAACCATCATGCTTGCTAACGTTCAGTCTCTCCGCAACAAGGTGGATTAGCTTCAAGCCAACGTTAAGTTCCTGGAGGAGTACAAAAGTGCTTGCCTCCTCGCTGTCACAGAAACCTGGCTCAAGGGTCACGACTTACAGTCCGACCTGAGGATCGACGGCTTTGGAGAGCCCTTTCGCCTGGACAGAGACCCCAAAGCAACGGGCAAGTCTCTTGGGGGTGGCCTGGCTCTCTATGTTAATAGGAACTGGTGCGGGAATGTGATTGTTAGGGAGAGTCTTTGTACTCCGGACATTGAACTTCTCTCTGTCTCGCTCAGGCCCCTTTATTTACCAAGGGAATTCACTCAGTTATTTGTAATGTTGGTTTACATTCACCCTAAAGCAAACGCGGATAATGCTACCCAGGCTATCACTCGTACAGTGCTACAGCTACAAGCTATGTCACCAGACGCTCCTAGCTTTATCATGGGTGATTTTAATAATTGTAAACCAGGAAAACAGCTGGAGAACTTTTACCAGTATGTAACTTGTGCGACAAGACTCACTAAATGTTTGGATCTTTGTTACGGCTCCATAAAAGGGGCTTATAAATCCCTCCGGAGAGCCCCACTCGGTGCGTCTGACCACAACACTGTTTATTTGGTTCCGGCGTACAAATCCGTCCTGAAGAGACACAAGCCGGAACGGAGATTAGTTCCGGTTTGGTCAGAAGAGTCTATCGGACGGCTTCAGGAGTGTTACGCCTGCACCTACTGGGCCTTGTTTAAGAATTCATGTGAGAGTCTGGAGGAAATTACTGAGACTGTCTCGGACTATGTTTCATTTTGTGAGGATCTATGTATCCATAGAAAAACAATCTCCACCTTTCCAAATAATAAGCCTTGGGTCTCAAAATCACTCAAATACGCCATTAATAAAAGAAACATCAGTTTTAACTCTGGTGATAAGGACACATATAAAGAGCTACATAAGCAGGTCAGGAAAGAAATAAAAGCTGCCAAGCAGCAATACAAGGACAGGGTGGAAAACTTGTTCAACACTGGTAGATCACGCCCTGCCTGGGAGGGGGTGAAATCCCTGTTGGGAATTCAACCCCAAAAGTGCAATATCTTCCTAGACGACAAGTCTGATCTTGACCTAATTAACTAAACGTCCATTCAAATCGTTTTAATGTTCATGATTTCAGCCATGAGTTGTCTGTGTTTAAGGACGTAGCATTGGAGCCGAACAGCTCGGTGCCAGTGCATGTTGACAAGGAGAGGGTAACGAGAGTGTTTCGGGGTGTCAAGGAAAGGAAGAGTCCGGGTCCTGATGGGATCGGGGGTCGGGTCTTAAGGAATTGTGCCGAACAGCTGGCGGATATCTTCAGCTTTATCTTTTCCTGGTCACTTCAGACCCACACTGTCCCCCGCCTGTGGAAGGACTCAATTATTGTCCCAGTGCCCAAAAATAAATGCACAAAGACTCTGAATGACTTTAGACCCGTGGCCCTTACCTCCCTGGTAATGAAGTCCTTTGAGAGGATTGTGAAAACTGACATTATGAGCACTGTTCAGGCTCACTTGGACCCCCTCCAGTTTGCGTATCGACCGGGGAGGGGGGTCGACGACGCTATAATCACCCTTCTGAACATGATCATGTCACACTTAGATGGTGCGAAAAACTTTGTCCATCTGCTTTTTATTGATTTTACATCCGCTTTTAACTGTATACGGCCCCACATTTTATCTGAACGTCTTTTAAATTATAATATTGACAGAGGTCTGATTTACTGGCTGTTGGATTTTTTAACTGTCAGATCACAACGTGTCAGGGTTAATGGTGTACTATCTGACACCATCTTTTCCTCCACTGGCTCCCCTCAGGGTTGCGTTCTTTCTCCTCTTTTATTCGTTCTATATACCAATGCATGTCAGAGCTCACAGGAGAAACAACACATTATTAAGTACGCTGATGATTCAGTTATCGTGTCCCTCCTCAGCCACGATGATGTAGCGCCTGGGCCCGTAGTGGAGGATTTCATCCAGTGGTGCAAATCGTCCTTCCTTAACATTAATGTCTCGAAAACAAAAGAGATGACAATCGATTTCAGGAAGTCATGCCCAGCCACCCCTCCCCTGTTGATCAACGACCAAACTGTAGAGTCGGTGCAGCAGTATAAATACCTGGGGACAGTGATCGATGACAGGTTGTCCTTTGAGCATCAGGTGGATGCCGTGTGCAAAAAAGCCAATCAGCGCATGTACTTCCTTCGTAAGCTCAGGAACATAAACGTCGAGTCAAAGTTTATGAAAATGTTTTACTCTTGTTTTATTGAATCAGTCCTCACCTTAGCTTTTATATGTTGGTTTGGGTCAATCACGTTAAAAAAAGTGTGCAGTAAAATTGTCGGTACCCCACTGACAGACATCTCCCTCCTGCACAAATCCAGGTCCCTTGCGAAAGCTAAACTTATCCTGTCGGACCCTTGCCATCCTCTGGCACACGAATTCAGCCTGCTCCCTTCCGGCCGTAGATTTAACGTGCCAAGATGTAGGACAAACAGACTTCAAAAGTCTTGGGTCCCGGTGGCCATTGGCCTCCTGAACAACACCAGTTAGCATGCACTGTGGTCACTTTACTCCTTCTCTTCTGTCCCTTATCGTAGTATTGCACTTATGTATTGTCATTTTGTATATTTTTAACCCTTTTTAACCTGTCATGTTATTGCTGTGTATTTTTAATGTTGCCTCTGTTTTGCTGCTGGCTGCACCACAAATTGCCCCTCGGGGACAATAAAGATTTCTTGACTTGACTTGACTATTTTATTTCTGGATAATAATAAATTTACTGGAATATCTTCATTATCACATATTTTTGAATTTGTGTTTGGCTCATCTCGCTCATCCCTGCCACCCACCACCCTGCTGGTCTGACACTTGAGATGTGCTTCAGAGGGTTTCATTTTCTCTTACATAAAGTAATCTAAAGCTCCAACATTTTCAGTCTGACTTAAACCCAATGTCTTTGTTTGCACCAAACAACAAAGTCTGATGTACTTTGTCCACCTCTGACAATGTACCTTACCACATGTTGCATACAGTGTCATTTGAAACCTCTGGTGGCCAATTTCTCCCACCAGGAAACACTGCTGAAGACGGATGAAAGTCATTTGAATGTAAAGTGTAGGTGCCATTAAAGATTGATTTTGCGGGAAAGGGCAATGCGAGGATGTAATTATAACCCGGTGAACAACACAATGCAGCAGACCCACAGGAGAGATTACAATTTCCTCTGAAGGACCCGCATCCAAAAGTCAAGGCCTTGTGGTCTGTGCTTAGCTTAGCGCTTTCATGGCTTCAGTGGACGGCTGAAGGTAGGAGAGTTTTCTTCAAGAGAGTTAAATCACAGACTGCAGCAGTAAACAGTGGGTGGGAGACTACATATGACAGGAACATGAAGGGAGTAAAGCAACATTTACCAGCTCTGTAATCTGGAAACACAATGAAGCAGAGATAGAGAGGGTAGAAATTGTCACACACATGTAAATCCTTCTGGACTGTAATCCTGGTTTCTATATATGCATGTATCATGTGTGCTCATTGTTGTTCTCATATATCATAATTACAGTTTATTTCTTATTTGGAAAATCCAGCCTCTGATATTTGACCAGCCTCCTTTGTTAATATGATGTCATTTATTACATATTATTTAATACATTGATTGATGGACATTAAAAATATACCATATTATTAATATTAATTTGCAAAAAAAAAACTAACACAGTGGCAATAATTAAACTAAAGACCTTCAAAGAGCAGTACCAAATATGAAAGCTCACAATACATGAATAAAGCAGGGAGACAAAATGGCAAGACGTGTTAACACTAGAACCGCCAACATTATGATCCCTCTAGAACTGCCGAGGGGGGCCATTTAGACCCTTTAGCTCTAATAGCGTCAGTGATGCTACAATATATATATATATATAAATATAAATAAATAAATATATATATATATATATATATATACATATATACTGTATATATATATATATACACAATATATATTTTAAACACTTATTTTGCCAAGTCTCCATTATTATCTTAAAAATAGATGAGAATAAGTCACCTGACACCTTCTAGAAATGACATCATAGCATCACTGATGCTATTGGAGCTAGGGGGTCAAAATGATCCCTCTTAGCAGTTCTGGGTATAAATGGTCATTTTTGTCTTAATTTTTATCACACACTCACTTAAATTCACTTAACGATTAATAAATCCATCCATAGGAAAAGTCATGGACTTAAAGATGTGGGGGTTTTGTTTTAACAGAAATACAAACATTTGAAAGGTAGGGGGTAAAAATGACCCCCTTGACATTTCTAGAGTTAATAAAAGAGGACACAACTAAAATACGAAATAATAAAATCAGACAAGAACAAGTTCCAAGAGCAATTTAGAATAGTTTCTGGACAGAGGAAATGCAATGAAACAATAAATACCCTAAAAAAAGAGGTCCATTGCATTAACTTTTTTTCAGAAGGGATTAAAACAAAGACACTTACAGCCTGACAGAGATCCTCAAGTGGGTTGTTCCACAACTGAGGAGCCCAACAGCAAAAGGGACCAAAGGAGGACTGTATTTGGGGATGCAGCTTCTCTGGGCCAACAATGACTATTACAATTTTGTGTGGGTTTCATTTTAAGAAATTTGCCGCCATCCTTTTTTTTTTTTTGTTAATATTGACGACAGTTTGTGAGGGTTGAGAGCAAGTGGCAGCATGTGAATAGAAATAAAATTGGTCCAAAAATTGACCCCTGAGGTACTCCACAGTTTACCTCAGAGGGAGGAGTAACATGCTCTCCAATTGAAACATAAAATCTTCCATTTGCTAAATATGAATAAACCAGTGTTGTTTTTGGCAGGCATTTTAGATTTAGTTTTAGTCTTAGTCATTTTGACGAAATGCTTCTTCGTTTTAGTCCCATTTTAGTCATTTCTATCCTTGATAGTTTTCGTCTAGTTTTAGTCCGACGAAAACTCAGAAGGTTTTAGTCTAGTTTTAGTCGATGAAATTGTGCCTTTTGAGGTTCGTGGTGTTCTTTCCCGACAGTTTGAAGCCGCAGCATGAGCAAGCTGTGGCTCCACAACTGTCGTCTGTCTCGTCTCCTCGTCCCCGTACAAGACATTGTGTTTTATTGTCACTTGGACTGTATCTGAAGTAGGACCATAAATCATCCCTCTTTTTTCGGCCACCGGGTACCGCTGCTGTGCCTGCCGCCACGGTGTGTGTGTGTGTGCGCGCCTCGTCCACCTGCCGCTCTGTGTATGTGTATGAGTGTGTGCGCGCAGCTGTGCGCGAGCGAGGCTTTTGGTGCGTGTGTGATGGGGGCGTGACTATTAGGACAAAAAAAAGCATGTTTTGAAACTTTGTTCGTCCACCTAATAATAATTTTGTCTCGTCTCGTTCTCGTCTGACGAAAATGAATAAAATTTTCGTCACATTTTAGTCTTTACAGAGCTTTGGTGACGTTCGTCTTAGTCTCATTTTCGTCAAGGAAAAAAGGGGTCTGACGTCGTCATTTAAGTTTTCGTCCTGCCTGGAATAAACCATTTCAAAACTGTCCCTGATATACCAACCCAGTGCTGCAGCCTCTCAATCAAGATTTTGTAGTCATCTATACTCAAATGCTGCACTTAAATCCTGCAGCACAAGGACAGAACAATCACCAATGTCTGCCAGTCTTAAAAGATCATTTGTGACCCTAATAACCACAGTCTCAGTACTATGTTTCCGTCTAAAACCAGACTAGAACTTTTTATAAATTTAATTTTGTTTGATTGCATCAAGGAGTTGTAATGAGACAGTGTTTTCGAGGATTTTGGCAAAGAAAAGGTAGCTTTAATGGATCCAGGCCTATTTTTTATTTGATGAGAGGTTGCACACAAGCAGTTTTTAATTGTGGGATGTAGCCAAGAAGAAAGAGAACTGTTGATTATTGACTGTAACCATGGGGCAGTCACATTAACAAGTTCTGTTAAGTGTTTTGGGGGCAGTATATCCACAGGGCTGTTAAGGGGTGTTCAGACCAAACGCGAACACCCCTTTAGAGCGTTTTAGCTGTGCAGTGGCAGGACTGGAGGAAAAACAACTTTTGCTAATGAGATATCTTTTTTTTCCCAATTACAGCTGAAAGCCAAGTGTAGGTCCAAATATGGAGCTTGTATAAGTATGCAATGTCCACGGCCAAACTACAAATACGCTGCAGACAAATACTTTTGATTTCAGCAGCACTGTGACCTATCTCCTTCCTACAGTTTCCTACAGAAAGACCCAAATAACACAACTCTTGTTTATTTTATATTCCATTGATATTTGTTTTGTTTTATATTGTGAAATCATAACAGGTGGTTCAGGTGTGGACAATCACCTGCTGTGGCAAGGATGAAAAACTGAGAGCAGCTGCTTTAAATGTTTAAAACAGCAGAATGTGAAGGTTTTCTTTCAATAAGAGATGTTACTCTCAGGGGGGGCCGACCATGTCTCTCTGTCCTTCTCTAAGATCACCTACAGAGCAAATACTACCTGCATTATACATGGGGTGAGGAATAAATTGTGATCATTGATTTATTGATGATAAAAGATGACATTAAAGGTTTCTATATGTGATCTTGGGAGGCCTTCAAAGCTGTGATTTATGTTTAGCACTACTGTGCCATTGCTGCAGCAAGTTAAGTGTTGTGGCAGCTCACACACCAGAAGCAGAAGATTACACGGGATGAGCAGGAATGATACTGAGCTCCTGACATTGTTCGTATAAAGACAAAAAATAGACTACAAGAATTGTCCAAGAGTCCCAAAGCTTAAGTGTGACAGGTTAGCGCCATAGGGTGCCTTCAGTGTGACTCAAATCCAAGGGCTCTATTTTCGTGCTTCGCTGGCGACGTGGCGCAGGCGCGGCATAAGTCAGGTCTGCCGCGCCGACAAGGCATTCCCAGGCACAATTTAGTACTTTGGTGAGCAGCGCAGCCCGGCGTAAGTATCCCCCCTCCCTAACTCAGCTCCTCCCAGCGGCGTAAGTCATAGCGAGGGAGGAGAGAGGGCGTGGAGTGGGTTTAACACAGCCGAGACCTGTATTGACCAATGACATTGACTCCTCTCCTTGCCTTTAAATCCGCCACCGGCGAGGCGTATTACAATTTTCGTGAAGTAGTCAAAGAGATAAAGAGATGTCTAAAGACAGCAATGTCACACAATGGCGACAGAAGGCAGCTCCTCAACAAGTGTCGCTGTAAGCACTGTAGAGGGCATCGTGCTCCGTGGCCTGGCTCTTTCTTTCATAGATGTTGGCATATAAAATAAATTTGGCTCACAAAACTGAATATATTAACATTCATAGCAGCAGCTGCAGCAGGACGGGGAGAGGACACGGACGCATGTCCAGGTCAAGTTGCGCGAGAAATAAGAGGAAGAGGATGATAGAAATAGGAGGGAGACGAATTAAATATTTTGTTAACTTCATCATGTGTGTCTATTTACTAGATATTTAATTTAATTTAATGCGGTTTCAGCTGTGTTGATTCGGTCAGGTTGTGTGTCCAAACGCGTGCCAAACGCACTCATCAGATCAGATATAGATCAGAATATATCGATATAGTTCTAAATGTATGTGCTGACTCAGATTATTAGTTGTTGTTGATTATTTATTGCACTGAAATGTGCCTGACACTGTGGAAACCTGCCGGTAAGGCATCGGTGACGCATGCC